ACCTGCTTTTGCTCTACGTTTACTGGTGAATTTGATACCGCGTGGGTTATGACGCAGCGTTTGGCAGAAGTGCGCCGAGTGCGTGGTGCGTGTTGCGTGGTGTGAGTGTGTGGCGGACTCGGGCTGCACTGCGGAAGTTCCAATCGCAATCTTGGGCAGCAATATCTTGAGAAAAAACACGCTGCGAATATGCACAATGAGAGAGGGAGGCATGCGCCCTGCACCACAAACCAGGCTGCATGCTGATGCGAGGTAAATCGACAACGCATTTCATTGGAAATTTGCAGGCTTTTTTTTTCCTGCCCTATTCCTTTCCTTCTTTTTCTTCTTCTTCCTTCTCTTTGGGCCCAGGTGAGTTGAGTCCGAAGGTTGAGGTAAGGTACCTGAGGGTTCTCGTTGGGCGGCAGGGGGGGACCGGGGGCCTAGATCGATCCATCTGCTGACGAATGTCGCAATCTTGAAAGATTGCGATTGCGATTTCGACATTTGGGCGATGGGTGGACAGCTGGCGTGAGGTAAGGTGAGGTACTATGAGTTGGCTATATTCTTTAACGTGCTTTTTGATTCTTCTCCCTTGAGTTGTTCACTCTTGGAGTGACATGTCTGTGGCCTCGCTGAAGCGGTGCATCTCATCGCCGAAGCACCGCTGACGGGAGGCGTCTTATCTGCGACTTTCTCACCCTTAGACGCCTCCAATCTCCGAGGCGTGTGCGTTTGTGCGTGTCGGCGATGGTGTGTGGTCCCCGTCGGTATAAACCAGCACCACCACCACACAACCACCACGCCCGAGACTTGGGTGTGTGATTTGCTGGCGCTGAGCGCACACCTTGTGACTCACACCTGGGTCTTTTTCTCCGAGTTGCCCGATTCACCACTCGCTCAGCTCTCTGTAACCTCTTACTCGCTCTCCCTCACGGCGTGTCGGGAAAGGGGGAAGAGGCTGTGTAAAGTCCGATACTGAATGAATTTTGATTGGTTGATATCATGTTCCGGGAGTTACGGGTGGCTGGGTGTAAGCATGCTCTTAGGACATAGGTATGACAGGATGTTGAGGCCAACGGGGGATATCGCCACTCTTCTGCGGTCCGGGGATTGGATGCGCTGGTGAGGATGTTGCTTTGGGGGCCAGGCACCGGGTGCGATGACGACGATGAGTCCGGTGCTTTGGGATGGTGGATGGATGGCTAGGGAGATTGGGGAGTTGATGACAGCGAATCGTTTTGGTGAAGCTTTCTTCTTCGGGGGTGAAGGATGGTCTGGGGGTAGGCAGCAGTTGTGGGTATTCGCGAATTGTAATTGAGAGTAGGATTAGTCGTGCTTGTATTGGTGACCGGTTCCGGGTAGTCTGGATCAAGAAGTATATTGCCGTGATGCTGTGGTTGTAGTAGGACAAAGGCTCATACTTCAAAAGGGTGACTCGTATCTGAGGATTTCACATGCCGAAAGTTGGAAGATTTCAGTTTTCTTTAAATGATCGCGACAAATGTCAGTCAGCCTTGATTTACGTGATGTCGATGACATACCGCGATATTAGTAGATGCGTCTCGTAGCATGTTCGGCATCCAGAAAAGATCGCACGCCCCTGTACATTATCGAGATGTCACATCCGTGGTCTATACTATCATGGAACACCTATTGGAGCATGAAGGCTTTTCGGATTTCGAATATAGAGGACAGTGTCTACGCACTGGGCGGTCGTGAATCTGCAAGTCGGGCGTTTGATAGGTTGAGCTTACGAGCTTGATATTCCCGGTCTACTAGGTAGCTAGTGAAACGCAACGCGGATGCCTTGAGGCTCAACAAGATGTTGCTGGGTGAGTCGTGATGATGATCACGAGCCTGAGGCAGATGACTCCTCGTTTCTCAGGATGTGTCTTGAAAGAGGCCTCCAGTGTTCTCGGAGGCTGTGAAAAGTACATCTAGGGCATTCATCGTGTTTCAAATTTGAACATGTGATAAAGTCGAAATAGCCTCGACACCTTACGGCGATTGAAAATGTGATAAGAACTAAAGACCTCATTAAATTTGTAAGATGAGTCATAATGATGATTGGTACTTCAAGGCTGTGTCGCTTCGTCTATCGTATACAGGCTTACAGCGTGAACGAGGTATCGCCGTCGTGAACGAGAGGGCGATACCTCGATATCTAGAACTTATGTATCTCAACGGCTATCACATGATTTGCGAAATACCCATGTTCCGTTTGCCTGGTAGCAAGACTCTTCTACTCGATGCGTTGGCAAGATTCAAGAGTCATAGGTCATCATCGCACTTACTCGCATGTGTCAATGAGGACTCTACGAGCGTCACTCATATCGCCACGATACTACGAGCTGCATGATATCTTAGGTCGGTGTTCTTCTGTCTGCCTGTTTGCCTCCGCCTCTGGATTGATTCTCGTCTCAGCTTTTGGCCTTGATGCGCATCGAAATCTGGTAGGCATACGTACGCGCCGTGAAGCCTTGCTCACTGAATGAATTTCACTTTCTTTACGGCAAAGGAAACCTTCCACTTCATGGCATGCCATATTGACACAAGCAGGCTCGTAGGAAGCCAAAACCAGCGGGCGACTTCTCCGATACCACGACAATCCCCCCAAGACATAGCCACCTATCGGAGAGGGGGAGAAAAGATTTCCGTCTGGAACTTCTGACTGTGGTTGAGAATCCGGGGTCTGACTCTCACCGGAAACGCTATTTCTAGAGCAACAATGAGCTTATGGGCCTCCTAGATGTCTATCTTCTCGTAATAATTTCTAGATGGAAGACTCAAAACGCAGACTCCCAAGATTTTGGGAAAACTTTGGAACAAGGAGCAACATGTAGAGCGCCACTCTGCCAGCTTTGGAATCATGAGAGCTACTGTATCTGATGTCTCGGGTAGAGATCATAGGCAGTATGTAGGACATGAAAGGAGACCGAGTGAGCCAAAGTCTTTGAAGACTCGAAAGGCTTGTCAGGATCAGCTGACGTGGGACAAAGATCACCTAAGCAACAAGAGATGTCTCGAAGTCCCGAGAAGTCATGCTCATTGTTGTGCAGAAGAGAAGACCGAAGGCATTCACAGCGAGAAGCACAGGACTGCCCATACCCTCTCCTCCCTTCCCTTCCCATGTTCCTTTCAGCCTCCACAAGCCCACACATGTTCCCTTTATTCTTACTCAACCACAAAAGCATGCACGAGAGCCACTACTACTCGGAAATGTCAAAAAAGAGGTTCTAGTCCAAAGAAGTCCACCACAACAGCAAAAGATTGCGTCGAGGGGGAATCGAACCCCCGGCTCCCCGACGCTGCTGGATGGCAACGGAGAATTTTACCACTAAACCATCGACGCTGATGATAGCCGGTGGGCTGTGATGTCCTGAACTGCGAGAATGTGTCTTGAGTAGGGATGTGGTGCGGATGGGTGGATTGCAATGAAATTGGTGAGGGTTTGGGACCCTGGTGTGTGTGGAGAACGCGTCGGTGAACAGGGGTTATGACCGCTGAAGATGTTCTTGCATGTATCTGTAATTGTCTCTGTAACCTCTGGCTAAATTTCCCAATGTTGAGATGCTTTGAGGTCCAGCCTGGATGTCAAATGTGAATGAATCCTATTCATTGCAATGAACTTGTACAAGGTTTCGGAGTGTTCTTTGCCTCCACGATCAACCGTTGGTTGGTCCCACTTTTGCCGTGTCTCTCGGCCCCGGGTCCGTGTCTTTGCTGTAGGTCAGAAAAAGTTGCTTCAATGACAGGACAAAGTGATTGGTACTGGAGGGGTAGATAGAAACTTCAAGTTGAGGGTATCTTAAAACTTGGGTGTAGATTTCTTGACTTCTTATGGAGTATTTACAGCGCGATCCATAATGTTGCCCTCGCGGCCTCTCGCTGCTCCCATCAGGGGAATTGTTTCATGATGTAGTAGGTTCGTTGTTCTCTATGATCTCAATTCCTGATCCAAGTGCCGTAGTACACGGCAATTTGATCGCACACGGCCAGGGTCGAGCGGACATTTCTCATCAAGCGCGGGGGATTGCCGCTGTACTGGAGCAACTCGTCGACTGAAACATTACCCGAGCTATGGCTACTAGATACCCTTGCGTGATCATCGGGACGTCTTCGTTGGGACTTGAATATGAAGCAATTAACAGAAAAAGTCGAACATCCATCTTCAACACCAGAGTGTCTCTTGCAGCTAGCACCATATGAAGCGAGATCTTGTTGTAACACTTTGATGGTCCAAGGCTTTGGATTTTCGTCCTTCGCAACAAAGCTTGCACTGGCTCCCCTCGAAGATTGCGCGTTCGGCATCGAGGCATCCGGGTAAGTACACGGCCTTTTTGACACTGGATCTAACCATACTTTAGAGTCAGGCACCTACTAGGTGTTTGTGTGGGCTGGTGGCTAGCCTCGTGATGACGAGTTCACGAGCCACTGACACCGGCCTCAGCAGTGGCGTGGCAGCACATTGTGTAACCCCACAAAGGTAGTTAACCGTTAGTCACTGCCTGACCAGAGCGGGTAAATATATTTTAAGAGTAATTTGAACATCTGATTGTGGGAGGCCACGTAATGACATTTACATGTATTACGGCACCCCCAAGATTTACTGGAGGACGCTTGTTTGCTTGTTCCATGGGAAGCAAACATGTGATAAATGCCCTCACTGAATCCACGTTGGACTGGATGAACACGGCTCTGCTAAAGGTTACATGAGTTCTCGTTCTCAATGTTTCACCCGATAGAATAATCGGCTGTGTACATTTGAGTATGTCATTCGTGCCTCTTTGTGTCTCGAGCATCTCACTATGGTGACGTCGCGTTCCCCCGCGTGGCTCGAACATGACTCCACGGCATGGTCTCAGTGATGAGAGGCTCACAATATATGAGACGATGCAAAGACTTGAAAGGTTCCCCCCAACCACGGCGAACATAATCCGCTTGGTCTGCTCCTACGTTCAGACAGTCTCAGCCCTTTATCTCTTACTTCCATTTCGCTTACGACCGACTCCTCCACCATGACGAGCTACGTATATACAGCACTACCGAATCCAAGAAAGTACATGAGGCTGCTGAAGCTTTTCCCAAGCTCCGACCCTGAGCCAGAGAGACTTCGCGCCGAGGTTATTCTCTGTCTGCGCGAAGAAGCACCAGCATACGAACCATTGTCCTACACCTGGGGCCAGCAAGACGCGTCATGCTCAATCTGGCTTCGAGATACCGGAAATACCGCATGGAAACCTTTCTCAATAAGACCGAATCTCGAGTCATGTCTCAAGCATCTACGTCAGGAAGAAGCCCGCATCTTGTGGGTTGATGCAATCTGTATCAACCAAGACGACAATGCAGAAAAGGGGCATCAGGTCGCGACCATGGATTTGGTCTACAGATCTCAAAGCCTTCTGATATGGCTAGGGGAATCTTCAGCGAATAGTGAGGTTGCAATTGACCTATTTCGATCGTTTGCAACTTGCCTGAGCAGAGATTGGCACGAAGTGTCTGCTCCGTTGTCCGACCAAGATACCGAGGCGGTGGCTGAATTTATTCAAAGTCAAACGGACGAAACATGGGCGGCATTCCTTGATCTAATTAAGAGACCTTGGTTCACTCGGCGCTGGGTCGTTCAAGAGGTTGTCTTATCTCACCATAAACTCGTCCACTTGGGCAGTGCGAGCTTTTGTTTCGCATATCTCAGTGTTTTCTGTGCGATTTTTCGGGGCAATCCTTACCATTCACGCAGGGAATTGTCTTCGAGTCCTGAATGCCGGAGGGCTCATGGTGATCATTATGATATCCACGACTACCCAGCGCCGCCCGTGGATCCCGTCGACAACGTTTTACGACTTTGGGAAATGCACAAATTAGTGAATAAAGGAGACAGGTCATCTCTTACACTAGAGAGGCTCTTGGAAAACTTCTCAGCATTCGATTCTTTTGATGTCCGAGACGGTGTGTATGCATTCTTATCTATGGCAAGCGACATCAACACGGAGGAATGGATTTTCGACTATTCGGTCCAAGCAACGACGACTGAACTGTATGCCATAGCGACATTTCACATCATACAAAACACCAAGAAGCTCGATATTGTCTGTAGACGAATACAGCAATTATCCTTCGCTAAATCAGTTCATCATTTATCTTGCTGTTTTCCATGGTATGGCCTCCAAACAGTCATTTTCACATCCGATCATTCACACCGGCTCCATTCACACCGGCTCCGTGGGTACAATACAAAATCCTTGACGACATTCGGTCAGCCTTTATCCACAGTGAGGATCGGCCAAGTTGAATACCTACCGGAGACCTGCCTAAGTTGCAAGGAGCCACACTGCCAAATCCTAGTTTGTGCCGGATGCGACCGCAAAATCACCGGCACCGGCTACAGATGCATCGATTGTGAGCGCTTTGACTTCTGCTACAAATGTATAAGCACAGCGAAAGTCAATCACACTCCGACTCATCGATTCGAGATACACAACAATGCGGTTTACTTTGCCTCTAGTTACTACATCATGGACACTCACGGATTGAAATATCATGATCCTGATTGCTCGGCCCCCAACCACGTTTTGGTGCTCCCTGTAGGGGCCGTCTTTGTCGACACAATCCGGGACGTTGGGTCAGGAGGCGATATCAAGGCCTTTTCTGTCATAGTCATAATCTCCCTGCCTTGGGAAGACTGGAAGAACTTGGATGGAATGGATGAGATTGGTCTTGACAATGACAGAAATGCAAATGCCGCATTTCTCAGAACTCTAGTAGGTAACAGGCTCATATCCAAAAGAGGGGTCACCTACTTTCCCAATGAGCATATGGAGATATTACACAGACAGTTTAATGAAGGACAGAAGATTTCTGACGAGAATGGATTCGGAGTTTTCTCTTCAATGGAGGTGATGCTATCAAACGGTCGTAGACTGGCCACTTCAACGAAGTCTTTGGGGTTCGTGCCATCTCAGACGAAAGTGGGAGATAAAATAGCTATTTTAGCTGGATGTTCGGTACCAGTTGTACTGAGAGATTCCCGGGTTTCAGACGATAAGTCGTGGTTTCTGATTGGGGAGTGCTATATTGATGGGTTTATGGAAGGGGAATTCCGAGAGACCAATGTTCCCAAGTTTGAGCATATTTGTCTCATGTAGGTAATGGGAGGTCTAGTAAAGTGTGTCATTGAGGTTTACGTTTCTCCTTGCTGACTTTGAGTACCCAAAAACTCAGTTTTCCCAAACATATCTTGGTATAGGTAATCACTCTTTGAGTAGATTCGCACCCACGTTCCTCTTCAACCCATCCAAGTAGAAGATCCCATTATGAGAGTTTCACCCGGCCGTAAACTAAGGTAGTTGAAGGGAGAAGCTTTTAGAATTGTTCCTTACAAAGAATACTTGGGACTGAAGGGGAGATTATAGAGGACAGCGCTGGTGAGCCCAGGGAGCGTTTCGCGACGTGTGTTGGTAGACCACCATGAATGGAACATTATCTTGCCCAAGTATCGGGGCTTGCATTCCGGGTTGAATCGCTCTTTTACGCGTCTGTGACGGCCTCACCGCGCTTTATTCACAGGCCCAGCCTTTGTGTTCAACATTCTTGAGTGCAAGGAACGCGACGATCTACTCATCCTCGACATTAACTGCAAAAGCTTCTATGTGAGGGGACTGACAGATTTCGTGGTTTGTGCGATGTAGGTCGTGAACACAACCTTCAATAGAACTCGGCCAATTGATGATGTGGACGAAGCTCTTCCTCTGCAGTGAATCAGTAATGACTTAAGGCGCGCACGTAATACCTGGCCCGATAGCTTACGATGATGCCACTAGAGTAGACGTATCGTCCTTGCAGAACTGGCAACTCGTCTTAACTCACCTCAGACCTGGATCTAGCGTCAGATGGCCAAGCTTTTGCCTCTGGCAAGCAGTTGGTAGAATTAAAGCAGCTCCCAAGCCTTGTGTCAGTCATATGTGTTATTCCCTCCCTATCGTTCAAAGCTCACTGGTTCGACGTGTAGTTGGTCTGGTCCCCGCTGAACAAGGTGTGGTGGAAGTGAGGTGGGGCCACTATTGGGCGCCCAATCGGAGACGAACTGGCAGTGTGATTAAAGGTTTGGCCGTCCCGAAGGATTCAGTTCAGTGCCATTTCAGTGCTAGCGATGCCCTGCGATGCTGTGTGTCCCTTGTCTCGGTAATACTTCTCGAAGTCGAAGGTGAGGCCGAGGCCTGGCTTAGTGCAAGACGCCCGGCCTTGGTAGACAATTGGGAGCTGATGCCTTGGTTGCAACTCGTCTGCTGATGCTGAAGGCGCTGTCGGGTCGACAAGCAAGATGAGCTTATCGCTGGAATGATATACATTCCTCAACTTTTCGCTGATTTTTGCTCAGCCTGCAAACCTCAAAGGAGTTGCAAGACAAGGTGCCGAGCCTCCAGAGATGTTGCGGCGGTATCGCAGCTCGTGAGTGGTGGCAATCCCATTCAACTTGCACAAATCCTGTTGTGGATATGGAAAATACCGGCGGACATTTCGTTTCAGTTGAATGGGAAATTCAGGTATGCATGGCGCTCCTCGGACGACGGGTCGATAGTTGCTGCCCAGTACGGAAAAGGGAGGTGAAAGAGGTGGTGTTACCGGTATGGTATGGCGTGTTCCATGGGCAAAAGTCAGCAGGTCCGGCGCTGCCTGGGACGGGCTGTGGGTGTGCTTGAGGTTGATCCAGGTGCGGGGGGAATCAGCCTCTCGCGTACCCTGACGACGTGGCTGGCGTGCCGAGACAACGACACCTCCTGGAGAAGGCTCAATCAGCAGCCCCCCAAGACCGAATAGGCGGCGGAGGCTCTCGATTCAAGTAGGTCGGAAGGGTCCAGAGGGCCGATGGAATATGTCGGATTGAAGCTAAGAGATAGGCGAAATGTTCGCCATGGACGTTTGACAGGAGCTGCTGGCCTGAGTCTGCGAACCAGGCCCACAAACCATCGTTGGCGGTGACTTTGGAAGGTTGTGTGGTGTTAAGGTCGGCCCAAACTAAACCTCGCTATCTGGAGCTCTTGGTGCGATCCGAAATGGACTCTTGGGCCCGTGTCTTTGGCAGGTGCAATGGCCGATGGAAGGCGTCCAAAAGGATAGCATTGGGGGCTTATCTGGCCGTGGCGAGAGTGCCAACACCGATATTACAACTTGGCGGGTGCTTGGTACCAGTCGTGAAGTGTCGATAGAAGCTGCCAAAAATTGCCAACCTGTTAGCGATGGTTGGCATTTCTCGGCTGGCGAGTGAGATGGCGCATATTTGTGGATTGCGCATCGTTTGTCTCTGGGCGGCCGGGGGAAACGAGAGGGCGAGCGGCGCTGCTTGGGGAAAGCTGTGGGAGTCTCGGGGATGTATCGGTCGTGTACCCGCTCGGAAGACCTGTTCGTTCATTTCAATTTGCGAATACGTAATCGCGTGTGTGATTCTATGCTGCCATCTTCAACGCTGACTGGTCTGAAGGTGATGTTCTTGGTTCGGCCAAGGGCTCGGCAGGCGTCCCAAGTCTGCAACCGCAAATGAGAGGAATTCGTGGAGCAGCGAAGCGTGGGAGAATCGTAGTGGCAGGTCATCGCAGGCTTAGAGTATAGAGCGATTGATGTGGCGATCGCATTTTGCTCCATCAGTTTGATGGTCTTCTTGTGGCGTGCGCGAGCCCAGATACCGAGTATGGAATGCTATGAGTTATTGACGATGAGGTGTTATTGACGGTCACTGGTAGTGTTGTAGGCGGCGGATGGGCGCAGGGACGGCCGGCAGTTGCTTGGCGAGAGACGCGCTTGTCAGACGGGAGTCATGCCGGGAGGGAAGTTGATGACTGCATTTGTCCTAGGCCTAAGTTTGACCCAGTGTTGCAAGGCATGAGAGCGGCACAGTTGATAGAAAACAATTTCTTCGTTTTCGCGAGATATCTTGCTACTCAATTGTTCCAGTGGAAGTCGTGGATGGAAGGTGCGCCTGGGTCCTTTCGCACCTTCCCTCCCCTCCCGTCCCACTCCTTCCAGGCCACCACCCGCTGGTTCCTCCTTCCTCCATGGTCCGCCAGCTGCCTTACCTAAGCACGTACTCAGGTACTTCCGAGGTCCCACACCTGTCCGCCAAGATCGACGCCCCCCGCCGCCCCTAGAAGGCGCGGAACGACCTTCCATGCAGCTGCCCGGGCGGGCTCCGCTGATAATGGCAAGTTACGACGTCGGTACGCAAAGGTACCTCTCATGATGCTCCCTCGAGTCTCCTTCTCATGGCACCAACACACCATGTTCACCCGACATCGTCGTCGTATTCCTCTCCTCTCTTCCACGTCAACCTCCAACGCCCACGCCGCCCACCACCATCCCACAACCGTTCTAGTGTCTTTCTCTCGAGCCCAGCTTGCCAGCACCCAAGACTCTAATCAATGAGCCCGCAATTTGTCAATCATAAGCTTCCCTGGAAGCTCGACTTTCACCTTCTCTTCTCGTCTAGCACCCCGTTTGCTTCACTCCACTTCCCCAACACTTGGCCTTCCTCTAGCCCTTGGCATACACCCATCTTACTCTCTTTGGATTGTCCATCTGTCCTGCGAGGACTGTTACTCGTCTATTAGCGCCCTCGACTTGCGTCTACGTTGCCCTGATCCCGCCCGCATACCCTCGCCGCTGATAGCCATGTCCAGAAGTAGCTTCTCGGCGCGACAAGGCGACGCCGAATGGGATGCGAACATGCTGGATTGCTGATAGGATGGACGACGAGGTTGAGGTGGTATTCCTGATCGGCCGCGTCTTCCTTTTAACACACCGCGTTCCCCTCTCGATCGCAATCAACTTTCTCCTCTCCTTGTGCTTCACCAAAATCTACTACTTTAGGCACGCCTGATCCCTCCCTTGCACTTGGTGCTTTAGGGCTTCTGATCCTATTGTTCGATCTACCTCAGCCTTTTGTTTCTCGAAGGATCGCAGTCATACTAGTATCATTCTTTGCTCGAGGACTGCGCCAAAGAACAAAGAGAATACTTGCCCAGCATGGCGACTGAAAAGGATGTCCATGATGGTGTCTCGACGCCCGAGACTACCCAAGTTCAACCCGAAAGTCGTACTGAGGGCTTTCCGAGGAAGCCTGGGAACGCTATCGGCGAAGGCCATCTCAGCCATGGAGGTGCGAAACGCGACGAAGACTTCTACACCCGCAATGGACTCAACTTCGAGTCCTTCAAGCGCCGAGACTATGGACATGGCATCGTTGAGCTTGACCGTACCATGAAGACTCGCCACTTGCACATGATCGCTATTGGTATGGAAGCCATATGTCGCTCCTATGCATCAATTTGCTAACCTAGTCGTCCGCCCAGGTGGTTCCATTGGTGCTGGTTTCTTCGTCGGGTCCGGAGGTGCTCTGGCTACCGGTGTTTGTCCTGCCCAACCCGCATACACTCGAATACCGCACTGACCAAACATAGGGTCCCGGCTCCATTCTTCTCGATTTCTCGATCATTGGCATCATGATGTTCAATGTTGTCTACGCTCTTGGTGAACTCGCTGTTATGTACCCTGTGTCCGGTGGCTTCTACGTATACTCGACTCGGTTCATCGACCCTTCTTGGGGCTTCGCTATGGGATGGAACTACGTCTTCCAGGTAGGCCACTTTATCTTTTGGGCTATACAAGCCTCGGCTGGTGGCGTATCTAACTTATAACTACAGTGGGCTATCGTTTTACCGCTTGAGTTGACGGTTTGCGGTTTGACAATCAACTACTGGGAAGGGGCCAGAGATATCAGTCTCGCTGTTTGGATCACGATCTTCTGGGCTGCAATCACCTTCATCAACATTTTCGGAACGCTGGGATATGCCGAGGAAGAATTCTGGTCTTCACTTCTTAAACTCTCGGCCATCGGTAAGCTCACACTCTTGGTGACCTTGGAAACACACTCACACCTTCTGCAGTAATCTTCATGATTGTGGCTCTAGTGCTCGTGTGTGGCGGTGGCCCTGCCGGTGGTCGCTACGATGAGTACTGGGGTGCGCGATACTGGCACGACCCTGGCGCATTCAAGAACGGCTTCAAAGGATTCTGCGCCGTATTCGTTACTGCTGCATTCTCTTTTGCTGGTACCGAGCTCGTTGGCTTGGCCGCTGCCGAATCCAGCAACCCCTTGAAGTCCTTGCCCGGTGCCATTAAGCAGGTCTTCTGGCGTATCACTCTATTTTACATCCTCGGCCTTTTCTTCGTTGGCCTCCTCATCAGCTCCAACGATGAGAACATTCTTGGTGCCGACAACCCTTATGCTGAAGGTACATCGCCGTTTGTGTTGGCTGCCAAGTACGCTGGTCTGAATGGATACGATCACTTCATGAATTCTATCATCCTGGTTTCAGTCCTCTCACTGGGAGTTTCGTGCGTCTATGGCGGCTCCCGTACTCTGACGGCTCTTGCGCAACAGGGTTATGCCCCCAAGATCTTCACCTACGTCGACAAGTCAGGCCGTCCCCTGCCATCGGTTGCTGTCCACCTTGTCTGTGGCGCCCTTGCCTACATCAACTTGGACGCTAGTGGTGAGACGGTCTTCAACTGGCTTCTTGCCATGTCGGCACTCGCTGCTCTATTCACTTGGGGATCCATTTGCCTGGCTCACATTAGATTCCGCAAGGCTTGGGCCTACCACGGACATACCGTCGATGAGATTCCTTTCAAGGCAGCCTTTGGCGTTGCCGGATCCTGGGTCGGCTTGATTCTTTGCATCCTTGTACTCATTGCACAGGTAAGCTTTATCCTTTTCACACATCGCAGGCCGCTTCTTTGTAGTAATTCTGTCTGACCTCGAACCCAGCTCTTTGTTGCCATCGCACCCGCAGGTCAGGGCAACAAGCTCAACGATGCCGCTGGATTCTTTGAGGCCATGGTTACTGTCCCTGTAATCATTGTCTTCTGGATCATCGGCTTCGCCTGGAAGCGCACTGGCTGGCTCCGCACTCACCAGATGGACGTTGATACTGGACGCCGCGAGCTTGACTGGGAGGAAATGAACCGCTACAAGGCTGAGGTTGCTTCTTGGCCTACGTGGAAGCGCATGTACAACAGATTCTTCTAGACCTCTGTGAGCGCCACATCCAAAGACACGCCTGTGTTTTATTTGTTCTGCAGGGAAAGCAACATCTCGCGGCTCAAGATACGAGGAGCAATCTAGGCGAAGTTTGATTTCAGTATTCTGTACTTAGATACCACACGCAGCTTACCGCCTTTCTCAACCTGACTTTTCATCATCGTAAAGCTCAAAGGTTCCTGTCTCATTCGTAAAATCTTACTTGCCCCTTATCCATTGCTTTTACCTCTGGAACTTGGGTACGATCCATCACCTAAAGTGTCATGGGCTGGGAAGCACGAACAAAAGTACTCTGTTGCTAGCTGTAACAGATGTAGCTGCGGACTGCTCGTGATCTTGCTGTTGCGAACGATGCTTCCAACAGCGTGCCCGATCAAGACTTCAAGCAATTTGATGAGCACTAGATCCCGACAAGGATTCGAGATAGTCAACCCAATCTGACTGTCAGAGGCGTCCAAGACTGCTGATTCTTGACGATACATCTCGTATAGGAGCCAGCTTGGAAGGTGTGCATGTGGTCAATTGGAAATGAGTATCTAGTATCAGTTAGTGTTGCATGTAGCCTTGGCTTAAATGCGAGAGAAGCAGTCTAGAACGTTTCGAAGACCCGCCATTCCGGATCCAAGGTAGCTACGAGCGCCCTGCAGACGATGCGGCGAATGGTGAGCTGGGCGATCTCGGCGCCATGCCTGGGCGTCTTGTCAATGCTTAGGATATGAGAGACCACCTGAGACTCTCAGAGAGCGCGAGGGAATTAAAGCTGAAAAGGGATTTTCAATTTGGAGGAGGCAATCGCAAATGAGTTGATGATTGGAATCTTCGACTAAAGCTCTCCCATTCCTTGCAGATCTCAGTGCTACGCGTTCTATATAATGTACTTACGGACAGTCACCAAAGCGGAAAGTTGAACATACAGCCAACAATTGACCTTATGCTCAATACCAACGACACGGTAAAGGAAATGGAACAAATAAGCTGTCAAACAACATCTGGCATGGTCGAGCCAATATTCCCTTTACTCTTGTGAGAGACCGAAACCACGGAAAACCACATCCTTGCACCGTCTCAAGAAATCCAGGACATCAGCCTCAGTATGCCAAGCATCATTGAACGCAGCGCTAAGACACAGCTCGCCCCTGAACGTACCCAAAAACAGACCCAGCCCGTTGCCGAGCTCCTCGCCAGTCACCCACGGATCGTACGCGTCGATGGCGCCCGTCTTGGGGGCGATGATGCCGTCGACGCGGCCCATGCTGGAGATTGACACGGAAGGATGTTCCTTGGGCGGCGGCACGGGGAGAGGGGTGGAGGAGAGGGGGACAGTGGGGTTCCCTGCGGCCCAGATTGTGGAGGCGAGGGCGTAGTGTTCTTTATCGTCTTTGACGCTGTGGTAGAAGTCTTTCATTATTTGGACGACGGGGAGGAACTCGTCTTTGTTCGAGGATGGGTTGGCGTCCATGTCGACGACGAGACTTTGTCCCGGGACGGAATGATACAGCGCAGCGGGGTGTTGAGAGGAGTTGTATGGTGGCTGGCAGCTGCTGCGCTCGTTGCGGAGGATGTAATTCACGTACCGCACGCGTTTCGCCTCGGGACCGCGGGCAGATGATGGCTGAATGTCGCGGACCACGAGGGCGATGGCGGCGTGGAAGGCGTGCGTTACGGTCGCGCCGGCGGATTTGCAGGCTGCTGTGAGGCGGGCTGTTTGGTCTGCTGTGAGGGTGATTGCGACGCGTTGGTGCCTGCCTGGGAGGAGGTTGCCGCGGCGGTAGGGCATGTCGATGAGGTGGGTGCCGGGTGGGGGGTTCATTGCTTCGGATTTCTGAGCGGCCATTGTGGCTAGGCGTGCGGTTTGAGCGGAGGTGAGGGTTGGGGGGACGTTGGCGGCGATGCGGTAGGGTGGGCTTAGGTTTGCGGCCTCGGAGCCGGTGAAGGTTAGGGGGCTGGGGGTGTCTGGAGAGGAGAATGCGTTGGAAGCGTGGTTGATGAGGTTGTTGAGGAGGGTGAGGGTGCCGATGCCGTCTATGATGTCGTGGGGGGAGCGGAGGACGAGGTCGCGGCGGATGAGGTTGGCGGTGGTGGATGGCGGGGTGAGGATGAAGAGGGTTGGGATCTTTGGAGCCGGTGGTTGCGAGTTGGCCCATTCTACGCCGGTTTGACCGGTGGAGATGGGGACGAGAGTCTTGTTGACCCAGGACTGCTGGTCGGCTTCGTCTTTGAGTTGCTGGTACGTCTTTGTCCATTTGCCCGTGGTGAGGTCCCGAGTGACTTGGGAGGCGATGGTGGGATGGTCTTGACGTAAGGCCAGCCAGGCACTCTTGAGGGCTTCGTCGACACGTTTAGCAGCATCGGAAGAGTTGCTGATACCGGTGGTGTCAAAGGTCAGGGAGATGTGGCCGGTGATGGCGAAGAACATGAGGCCGCTGCCCTCGTAGAGGACGGGCATGGAGGCGTAGAACTCCTCGACCTCGTCGATGCTGCGTTGCCATGTTCCAGGAGAAGTCTGAGTCCAGACGAGTTCGGGGTAGGGTGTAGCCATGGTTAATAGAAGAAAGCCTCAAGATGTTGTTGTCCACGATGAAAGATGCAAAGGTGATGAGCGATGGCAGCGGGGTAATCAGATCGTTAACCTAGTAAAGTCAGCTTCCTAAACATCGTAGCTTTTATACATGAACGTACTCATGCCAGCTAGATTTAAAGCCGCGATGTCGGGATCGCAGCCGGTGGCCAAACCCATCGGACTATCGCGAGAGTGTATTAGACTTTCGACCAGACGTGGGTCGTCTTCGGGTTGAGAAGTCACACAGCTCCTCGTTGCTGGCTGTGGTGCCCGATCGGGACATGGCCCCCGCAGACCCCTGATCCACTGAACCGCGCTACTGGTCCACAACGCCCCGGAGTTTAGCCACAGCGGAAAGCTTGACCCGCCCCCGCAAAGGGCGGCCATGAGTGGCTACAATTCTCCAGAGTTCACCCGGCGACAACTTCATCCTTCCTCGAGACTGGCCATCTTTCCTGGAGATCCTTTCTCTGGCCTTCAAGGAAGCAGTCCTGCAGCAAATATCCTATGAAAATGCGAGGAGTCAGACCTGGAGGCTTTGAACGCGAGGTGGCCGAGAACCTGCTTGGCATCTCGATGGTCGTGAAAATGGGCTGGGCAGGTAGGATTGATCACAATGTCAATCATTGACAGTCTTGTGGCGTTTACTGCTTTGACGAGCACCCACCTAAATCATGACGCGTACAACAGACAGGGAAGAAGAAGTTTGGTACGCGTTCCGCATCTCGACTTCGGTCAAAGAACCTTCAAAGGTCTGCTGTGGCTCTCGTGTCGTCGCGGAAAGACGTTCGCCTCTAGATCTGGAATGTGATGACTATGAATTATAATTAATATTGCTCCACTGATGAAATACACCGAAACGATTGAGGTACGCTGGTGACCTATCCAAACTTTGGCGAAAATGAAAACCTTTACGAATGGTGAGATACAAACCTACAATGCAGAAGACATTGGATTGTTCACATGCCTTCAGTTCAGAAGCACACGCTTACCTAAATCCTAGTTATTGGTGGTCATCTGTCCTTTGCGTTCTGACTGATGAGACTGAACAACAAATCATCGGGAAATACGTGATCAATCAAAAGCCCATAAAAGAAAAATGAAAAAAAAGAAGGCGCCTGTGGGATTCGAACCCACAGGCTACAGCCCGGTAAATCTGACCTCAGGATTGGGTTATTAATATCTTTGTCTTCTGGGCAGGTTCCCCTTTCTTGCTGTTGTTGAGAATTTCCGAGGTGAATTGGATTATAGACCACCCCCCCTCACACTGGTGTGGCTATCAACACGTGACCGGCCATCGCCATCAATATTCACCAGACCGGCCGCCTTACTTTCCAGAAATGATTCACTGCTCGAGGTCTACGATTCACCTTGTTTACCTCCATTCCGAAGAAAACCTCAACTCCTTAATTTTCCATCCACCCCGCTTCTCCCACCCACTCCATCTCTTACATCCGCCCCGTCTCTTCTATCGACCCCTTCTCCTGTATCCGTCTCTCCCTCATCTTCGATCATCCAACATCCTACCTTTCCTATTGGATAAGAACAACTCAACGATACAACAATGTCGTCCACTCAAGCGGAGTTCACTCTCCCATTGCGACCTAGAGACACTGGGACGAACATACTGTAGGTACCCATTGCTACTTGCGACCCAAAGTTATGATCTGACCTTGCGGAAAATAGCTCGGATGCCCAGGATGGGGAAGCAGATCTCGTAGATGACCAAGAGGACGATCCGACGAAGCATCACGTCAACTTTTCTAGCCATCCAAACGTCAGTGGCCTCCCGGGATTTGACTTCGCCGTTGGAGATGGTATGCCAATTCTCAACCGTCGTTACTCGGGTCTCTTCCGTCTGATTGCGCTTCCCCGAGACGAATTCAGCAAGCCGCACTCTGCAGAAGGGATCAAAGCCATCGCTAGTCGTCTTAATGCTGTGTTCCAGGCGGCGATTCGCACATAAGTCAAACCCCCCACTTCCCGGCACCCCCCTGTTTCTGGCACCCACAAAAACGCGAAAATCCACCACAACGCAATGCCCACCCCCAACCTCCTTTTATCACAACATTTTCAATTCGAGTCCAAATGGGCTCATTTTTTGCACATACCTTCTTCTATATCTAATGCCTCAATATACCGAAGATCAGCTTCGTCAGGCTCTCGAGGACATCTCAAACGGCAAGTCAAAGAGAGCCTCATTGGAGTATGGGATACCACGATCAACCCTCCAACTACGTCTCCAAGGTGGTCAGACTAGGAAAGTGGCTTTTGCTGACTGGCAGAGGCTGTCTCCTGACCAGGAGAGTGGCTGGCACAATGGGTTCGCATTCAGGCTTCGCTGGGCCTCGCACCAACGCACCAACAGGTGAAGGAATTCGCAGAGCGAGTTCTGGCTGCTGCTGGGGATACCAAACCATTAGGAAAGGCTGGATCTATGCCTTCGTGAGAAGGAACCCTATCATTAAGGTTCAGAGAAGTCGTTCCATCGATTCTAGACGCGTTAATGGGGCATCTACTGAGGTCATTAGGAACTGGTTTAAGTTCCTTGCTATCCCTGAGATCAAGGACATCAAACCAGCCAACAGATATAATATGGATGAGACTGCATCCTCGAGGGTCAGGGAGCTAATGGGTTAGTGCTGGGCATGGCTGAGACGACGTCTGTTCGCAAGAAACAACCTGGGTCGAGGGCATGGGTCTCTATCATTGAGTGTATCTCAGCCTTGGGTAGGGCACTTCGTCCTCTTATCATTTTCAAGGGAAGACGGTCCAACAACAGTGGTTTCCATTACATCTGGTTCCATACGATGGGTGGGAGTTTACAGCAACAGATAATGGCTGGACTACAGACTTAACTGCCATTGAATGGTTAGAGAAGGTGTTTATCCCACAGACTATGCCCGAGGCTGAGGCGAGGCTCGACTGTTGATTGTGGATGGGCATGGGAGTCATACGACGACAGACTTCATGTGGAATTGCTATATTAACAATATCCATTTACTGTTCTTACCACCACACTCCTCTCATGTCCTCCAGCCACTTGACCAGTCTGTCTTCAGCCCTGTTAAGTCAGCCTATCGGAAGGAGCTCGGTTACTTGTCTCAATGGAACGACTCTACCATTATAGGTAAAAGGAACTTCCTGGACTGTTACCAGAAGGCTCGACTTGCTGGTCTATCAGTCTCGAACATCAGAAGTGGTTGGAAGTGGACTGGTCTACACCCTGTAGCGATGGTTAAGCCCCTGATGAACCCTATGGTATTACCTGAGCCTTCTGCTAAGCCCACCACCCAAACCAACCAGTCGGGGCAAAAGCGATGCCATAATGGTCAACAAACTACCCCTGTTGAGCCATGGGATTCTGCTTCCTCTGCAGTGGTCTGGTCGACACCCAGGAAGCTGGCAGAGCTCAGCGGTCAACTGCACTTATACACAACTCGACAATGATACCAGCACTCAACGGCTGCTGTTCAGGAAGGTGAAAAAGGCTTCACAGAGCAGGCCTGGCAACTGGCAGCTGCCCAGCAGCAGCTGGCTCACCTGAGGCTCAAGTTACCAACGCTGCAGTTAGGAAGAGGAAGACTGTTCAGATCGATCCCAACACGAAGTTTGCGAACATCAGGGATATCCATCGGGCTCAAATCGAAGCGGGTGAAAAGGAGGTTATTACGGCTGAATCCAGCGACTCTGAATGCCCTAGTGAGGCTGGCAGTTGTATTGTAGTGGGTGTGGTTGAGGATCAATAGTTAATAGTAATGAGGAGGTTGGGTTGTGATCCCATCGTTTTTGTGGGTGCCAGAAACAGGGGGGTGCCAGGAAGTGGGGGGTTTGACTTACGAGATGAATGTCGGAGTTCCGACTATCAGAAACCTCTGGCTCTATACCTTCCAGGAGCTTCGCCCCTCTGACAAGTCCTGGGACTTTGACGTTTCTCACAAGAAGATCCCCGTCATCATGCGCAAAATCACGGTGGCTCGCCGCAGATTCCTGGACAGCGATGCCGACAAAACCTCGATCCCTGCCGAGTTCTTTGACTTTCTTCACACGATCGACCATTTCATCTTCAAGATCGAATCCACTTTTCAGACTAATGGTACGTCTGACGAAAGAATAAGCGAGAGTCGGATGGCAGTGGCTAACAGTTCAGATAGTCAGCAAGCAGTTGAAGAAGAAGCGCTCCCGCGACGAATCCGATGATGAGCCTGAAGAGATCCAGAACACCACGAAGAAGGCTCGGATCGCAGACGCTTACGAAGAGATTGAGAAGATGACCCAGGAGGAGCAGATTCGCTACTGGAAAGAGAAGGCGCTGGGTCTGAAGGGCAAGCTTGAGGCACAGGATGAGGTGGTCAAGGGACTACACAAGCTCCTTCACGAGATGAATGACCGCAAGAATCGGAGCAGCTTGGAGTTCAACTATTGTGTTACCCGCCTCTGGGATGATGCTCTTCCTAAGATCAACGAGAAGCAAAGACAACAGAGTCAGACGGAGTGGGCTTCATCTCAGCTCCAGGAGTATTTGCGAGCCACCGGATCGAGCCGCATTGCTGATGCTATGCTTGGTATCGCCGACTTTACCGATGACCACATGTGAGAGTACGAGAATGAGACTTGGGTAGATCAGCAGGTAGAGACCATAATGCAGTACGAGATCACATGAGCAAGGAAATCATCTTGTGATACTCAAGACTGATTGTCAGCATCCAAGCACTCCCTACCTACCCAAGGATGACGAAGACTGAATCTCGTTCTGAGTAATTGAAGCACTTGAGGCAAGATTACAGACGATTTGCATTATATAATCAATGCGAACTCAACAAAAATAAAGTAGGTAAAAAAGAAAAAAGGTTCCACCATAGAGGATCGAACAAAAAACCAAGCGAACAGTTGACTGTGACTCGAGGACTTTCAAGTTAATCTATGACCCCCCTATCATACCCCTCGGCCACATTCCCCATTCGCTGATGATATTTCAGGTGAAAAGAATACTTATGAGGGTAAGGTGCTACCGAGGAACCGTATTTTTCCCAACAGCCTAGTCTGCCTATCCCAGTATAAGCTCCCGGCTTCGACCTTCTCAAGGCCACAACATGCAGCATTTATGTGTCCAGGCTGTAATTCAAGTTCGAGCTTTTCAACATTGAGATCGAGGTTTAGCGAATTGATTAGTCCTCGTTGATATGGGGGACTTATTCACAGCCACACCCGTGCCTTGATGCAATTCACAGATATATTGTAGGCATTTGACGGGCTGCTCCTGAGCAGGACTCTGGCATGCGAATAAATTCACCTGCTCGATAAAACGTGTTTTTACTTACGTGAGCCGTGCCTGAATCGAAAAAGTCGATGGCATCCAGGCGTCAACTTCACCTTCACCTTCCGACAGACATACCACGTGACCATCAAGTCCCTATGGGGTTCCGAATACACTCATCACTAAGACTTGTATTCTAAGTAGCTTTGCCTGAACCGGGCCGAAATATTTCTTGTGAAATTTCTTTTCTTCAGCAAATTCTCTCATCTTAGCTGTCCCGGTTCCCAAACTCCGAGCTAAATTCGCCTTCCATCTCGACCACGCCAAACAACCATCAACAATCAAGCAATAAGATGGCCCCCTTCCAGATGGTGCTTGCTTTGCGCCCTGCGCCTAAGTTTATTGCGTCAGTAAAATTCCTTGCTATCCGCAAACTTCCTCTTCATTCTACCACCATATATTCTTTGCCCTAGCTAATCCTTTGTAGTGAGGAAGTGCGACAAAGCCCCCTGAGCCCTGTTGAGTCAGAGAACGAGGAAGAGGAGAAAGATGAAGTTCCCGCTGTCTCTGCCGACACCACCAAGTCCGAGCCCGAGGCCCCCAGCGAGACAGGTTTGATGGATCTCTCCTCCTTGAGCTGGCGCCTCCCCATGCCGAACCTTTCTGCGCATCCCAACATCAAGAGCCTGCCTGGACTCGACTTCAACGTCACCTTCGGCGCTCCTTTCCTCCCAAAGCGATACTCCGGAATCTTGGGAAACGTCCTGCTTCCCTATGGCGAGAAAGTGCGGTCCCATGACCATAATGGAATGATGAATGTCGCGAATCGGATCGAGACAATCATGGATGTTGCCGTCAAAATCTTCCAGGAGAATCATGAGATGTATACGATGCAAGAAATCTCCGAGAAGACGTTTGCCAAGCTCCGAGAGCGATGGCAGCAAGACATCACATGGAACTTCCTTTCCTCCTCTCAGAAGACTAGCACCATCGTCCAGAAGCTCGTCGCTGCACGCAAGCTTCATCTCGAGAACAATGACGGCATCACCACGGCCCGCGAGGAGTTCTTCCCGTTTCTAAAGGCGATGGATGACTTCCTCGAGAAGGTGTACCACGTTCGAGAGTCTAGAGAACAGGTTGCCAAGGCACAGCGTACGTTTCCAGCGGCCTAAATGAAGTTAAACCTGAGAGCTAATGGATATCGGTCTCACAGAAGACTCGGAGGCCCGCAGCCGGAAGCGCTCCCTCCTAGAAGAGGGGTCAGATGTTATGATGACGTCGTACAAAAGGGCGCGCTTGGACAAGGAGGATAATGAGTCTGGCAAGTCGAAGGCACTTGAAGAGAAGGTGGATGTTCTGAAGACCCAGAACGAGGAATTGGAGATGAAGGTCAAGGAGTTGGAGAAGAAGTTGCACGAGTCCACCATGAAATGAGTAGAGAGTAGACTGTACTATTGAGAAGCATGATTTGTGGGATTCGAGACATTTTCATTCTGCCGTCTTGGACATCATCGATGTCGCTGTCATTTAGTGACATTCCTGACAAACGATGTGGTAAGAACACGCATCGCCGGCTGGGAGCGTTACTGGTATCTTGCCCGGAAGCTGGAAAAAAAAAAGATGAAAAGAAGAAAAAGAAAAAAGACGGTCATCAATAGGGAATCGAACCAAAAACTAAGAGATGCTGGTTAAGCGTGGCTCGAGGACTTTCAAGTTAATCTATGACCCCCCTATCATACCCCTCGACCACTTTCCCCAGATCGCTTAGTGACAGGAACGGATGAGAAGTGTCCTAAGTAGCCTGCCTCCCTGACTGAATCGATTCAAAAAATAAAGAAAAAGGTCACCTGTAGAGATTCGAACCAAAAACAAGAGAAGCTGGTTGAGCGTGGCTCGAGGACTTTCAAGTTAATCTATGACCCCCCTATCATACCCCTCGGCCATTTTCCCCAGATCTCTTGTTGACGAAAGTGAGGCACAAAGAACCTAAGTACCCCCCCCCCCCCTCTCAGGTGATCCAATTTTGTTTGCACCAGAGCAATTGCCCGCTTCAATCACCCGACTGTCGCTTGATTCCATCGTGACCTTACCTCGTGATAATCGCCATGCCTCCGATGACACACCCAGTGCGTTTTTCAAGAGTGCCCAATCTCCTACCGAACTAGCCTTCCTACTGCCCATGACCAGAACTTCGGCCTTGCGATAATGCCTTATGCCAATCTCCATCTGACCCGAGGCACATAATTCCCCAATATGACATAAGCATCAGCAAAGCATGGGCTACTATTGCGAGTTTTATTTGGTTCTGTTGTCTCGCTCAAATAGTTGGTATAAGTAGACATTGATATGCAAAGGCTTCTAATATAGTAGTAATCTAACAAAAGTCTGACCCATTCTAGGTTGCCGACCGACTACTTCAGTATGCGAATGTAACATCGTCTACTACAGAGTGGAGATTGAGACACCCAACAAAAGAGAAAACGAAAGAGATCAACACTCCAACGAGTCCAGATCAAGCTCCTCCTTCCTCCTCCGAATGAACAGCGTCGCAGAAGGATCCGGCAACAGGACCATACCGTGTGGCATCGTCTGCGGCTTGAACCCGTCAGGGAACTTCCAGTCGTACTTGAGCAGCAGATGCGCCAGCGCAATCTTGACCTCGTTGGCGGCGAAGAAGCGGCCGGGGCACGCGTGCTGGCCGTGGCCGAAGCCGGGGTGCTTGGCGCTGGTGCTGACGAGGTGCGCGTTCTTCTCCTCGTCGGTGCCGCGCATGTTGAGGAAGCGGTAGCCATCGTAGGTGGCCGGGTTCTCGTAGTAGTCTGCGTCCCACATGTGGGTGTTTGTGGCGATGATCTTTTGGCCCTTGCGGAGGACGAAGCCGTTGGAGAGGGTTACGTCCTTCTTGACGAGGCGGCGCCAGGTTGCTGGTGGAAGGGCAGGCTGTTAGAAATGATTCTGTATAGTCCGTGTTGGATGGGATAGGGAAAAGAGGGTGAACTTACAGAGCAATACGGGCTTCATGCGCTGCGACTCCTTGATGACACTATCCATGAGCTTGAGGTTATACAGCGCCGTCTTCTTCAATCCTTCCGCGCTGAGCACGCGGACAAGCTCATCGCGCAAAGGCTGGACCAGCTCAGGATGCTCCGCCAAATCAATCATAGTCTGCGTGAGCAAATCGGTGGTGGTATGGATCGCGACGAGGGAGAGAGAAATCTGCTGCGTGGCCGGGTCAGGCTTGCGCGAGGACTCCTTCTCGAACCACTCCATGGCGTCGTCAAAGACGGCACCCGTCTTGCCAGCGGCCAGGGCCTCGGCCTTGCGCTGTTCGCGGCGCTCGACGTGCGGCTGGAGGGTCTTGCGGCACTCGGCGAGGAGGGCGCGGACGCGCCAGCACGAGGGGAGGAACCAGTGGACGATGGGGCGGGACCAGCGGGGCCACTGGCCGACTTCGTAGCCTACGCCGAAGGCGGCGGCGGTGTACTCTGACGAGACGCGGACCCATTCTTCGTCGCGGCAGAGGTCCTCGCCGGCGAAGACGCGGGAGGAGAGGCGGGAGACGATGCGCATGATGTCTTGCTGGGGCTTTATCTTGTGCCATTCTGTATCACGGGGAGGAGATGTTATTGGGAGCTCGGAGCGAAGGTCTCTGGTTGGGAAGTTTGGAGAGGAGACTCACCGGTCGAGTCAGTGAGGACGTGGCGGAGGACGAGTGTCGACTCTTCGGAAAGGGGCTTTGTGAGTTTGGCTGTTTGGGTACATGGTTAGTGGAGTTCTTTCAGCTTTGAATAGAGAAGCTTTGAATAGAGAGTTTTGAACTTACTCAAAGCCTTTGTCAAGTACTTTGTGACGACTCTCGGAAGGGCTTCATCTCCATCAAAGGTCTCGAACCCGGGAATGTAGCCGTGGGAGTCCTTCCACCAAGTCAGCACTCCCACCCATCACCAGAGAAAGAAAGGAAAGGAAAGAAAAGAGACGAAATGCTTTTGCCTCACATCTTTAGCAGGCTCCTCGAAAGCCAAGTAGGGATTACTGCGAAGCTCGTGGATAAAGTCGGGAGGCAAGACCATGACGCTGCCCCATTCCGTCATTAGCTTGTACGGGTTGTCTCCAAACTTTGCTCTGCCCTTGAGCATGAGCTCCTTGCTCGTTCCGAAGAACTCGAGGATGCGGCGCGAGTTGGAGAACTCAAACGGCTTGAGCGGGTTGATTTCGGGCAGCTTGGCGCCATGGTCACCGAGGGCGTATGCTAGAATGAAGAAGAGGACAACGGTGGCGACATAGGCGATGGGTTTCTCTGTTGGCGAGGGGATGGTGTATGGGGCCCCGCCCAGTTCGAAGGAGAAATTGGATGACATGTGTGCGCCAAGAGCAAAGTGTTTGTCTTATGGATTTTGGCTTTTGTGTTTGAAGGAGGCACGGTTGCGTTTGTTGATCTGATGTATTGTTTTTGTCGGTGCTGTTGATGAGGATGTCGTCTGAATCGATCATTCGAAGACGGACGAACCATTATCGGTATATATCCCATCTTTCTGCAGTGATCGTCGTCGTCACGGCGGATCTTGGCGAGTCCGCCATTGTGCGAGATGTACGACGGACGCGAGTGCGAAGTGGATGGATGTTTTGGTTGAGTCTCTAAAGGGACCCATCATGAGAACCGAACCCCGTCAACATACATACTGCATACTGATTGTAGACTGCTGGATACATGTTTCTCCTGTGTAATAATACGCCGTGACGTCGCAGAGCTAAGCTTTCGCGCCACAGAGCGGGTACGCTAGGGCGTCCCGTTGTTCCGCCCGCCACCCGAAAGGTACTCGGAGGATTAAGCAGCATAGCTGCAAATCACACCAAACTCTGAAAGATTGCCATGTACTCCGCAACTTACTTGACGGGGGAGTTGGTACTGTATCCGCGCTTCCCACGCATTCGGCCTCGCGTTCGTCAAGTGGACTTTCCGGGAGTCCTAGTCCAGTGACCATGCCCGGTGGTGGTCGGGCCTTGGCCGCTGTGCAGGCGTGGAGTTTCAATCGGCAGTCGTATTCGTATCTCGGGGTGGTTGAAGCGGTGGCCGCAACTGTCCGATTGTGGGGTATTAGTGTCGATCTGCCGCCGGTTCATGCTTTGACTTGCGATTTACGACGGTTTATGGTTGTATTGACCAATCAGCGGGCTCTGATTTATAGACGTTCGATGCAGGGCTCGTGTGAATCTGTGGATTTTCTGCCTTGGCTTGGGAGGTTGTCTTGGCTCGTCGAGTCGATAATAGCAATCGAACCTGCTTGTCATGAGTCGCGACTGTGAAGACGCTAGAATCAAGATTGTCGTTATGAGATACTTGCGGTCTTTTACACGCACGGTTGATGCCGCTCAGCCATATGACTACGGATGGTTACACGTCATTATCGTGTTTTCGGATAGGATAGTTCAAGGGAAGCTGCCAAATGGATCACCACCTCATGTGTGTTCGCTTCTGGAAATTGATGCTGGGAAATCGGGGCCCGACTTTCAGCAGCCAAGGCAAACCAATTCCGCCCCTAATGGTCGGAATTGGCCAGAAAGGCCGAAAGAGTAACATCGTCCATGACTGAAGATACGAAAATCGCTCAACACGGTTCTCTTAATACGGAAAATTTTCCGCAGTAAAAGTACGGTAAAAATGTTCTAACCAGGCACATGCGAAACTTTTAACGTAACTTGCGTCATATAGAAGATGACTGAATGAGGCAGCTCTCCTCGGATTCCAGAAGGACGCCGTTGGCGGATCGGCCCGTGATACACGTCCCTCGAAAGCATCCTTCCGGCACTTGAGCGGACGAAGCTCGATTATGACAAAACTGAATCGGAGTTCGTAATGCAATCGTGGAGTTTGGCTAGGGGGCACATGGCACCTTGGCACTTGCATCAGCCACCATCCTGACTTCGATGCCGCCCGGGCAGTAAGGCCACCCGAAACGATGAGGAATTTGGTCTCTGCCATCTGGTGTTATGGAGCATTTGCAGATTTGCGAATACGTCGAGATTCGGGATCGGAGGCGGCATAGGCACTCGGGGTCTAAAAGAGCGGCGTTTGGCCTTGGGCAACGCTACGCTAGTCATGTAAATCGAGGGCTTTGTCAAGACATCGAATGACACGAAGGACCCGGGCTGCCCCCTTTCATTGCTCGAGTAACCATGCATACGTAGTTCCAGCAATACATTTTTGGGTATCCGGGTTTCTCGACCGATATGGTATTGGAAGAACAAAAACGGTAAACCGAAGATTCTGAATTTGGAGCCGGCTTAACGATGGCCCCGTCTTTGAGGTCTAGCTATCTCACACGGCAAGGTGACATCTTGAGGACACGCTCGCTCGACCAATGCTTCTGCTCTTATCACCTGTTCATAAGTTGGGGAGTTCCCAAGCACGGCTCCGTGAAAGCGCCAGTCTTGTACAGTCACGTTTAAGTTGGGTAAAAGAGTACTTCCGACACGGGGGCCCTCCGTACAGAGTCTTTTTCAATGCCTCCTTATGAGATAGGGACTACAAGATACAGTTACAGAAAGCCGACCCGATGAGCAGGCATAAAGTGGTGTTCGCACACCTGTCGAGTGGGTTACGTGCCCAACCTTGGCTATTTGCAAGAGGTGTTTTGGAACTGTGTCTTGATGACAACGAGGTGACCTACCTACAGCAAAGAGGTCTAGTCTATCTCATGACAGCATCGACTCGAGTTAGCTGTTCAAAGCAGGTAGCAAAAACCGAGATGATGGCCAAACGCGTCAGTGCGTGGGTTGTTCTCAGGAAACCGCGCAAGAGAACTGGAAAGAGGCTTCTATCCAAAAATGGTAGCACCACTTGACCGCCGAGCCAAGGCTACTAGCTTGATCGATTGCTTGAAAGGATCTCATCTACCTACATGGCTGACAGCTTTGTGAATGATGCGTCCCGGCTGATAGATCATCGTAGTGAATGTCTCGAGGTGACGATATGACGTAAGGTCAAATGTCTACGGATTTGCGCCACAACATGTTGAATTTGATGGTATAAAGCAATTGGTCCTTCCGAACTTAACATCGCGACAAACTGTGCTCGGAAGAAGAAGCTGAGATCTGCTTGATTTCTAAGCCGAATTTCACAACAATGATGCTGTAGTGGGTGGCGGATGGCACAATTGACTGGGATCTATCCTCTGCGCAGCTATGACAAAAAGAGAATCTAAGCTAGTACATGGTGTGGAAATCGTGCTCACGAATCTCGGCTCAAGCTGGTAAAGTTCGGACCGAGCTTATCAACTAAACAGTGATTCAGTGAAGCGATTGATGAGTCAAACTAGTTTGATGCACGATGCTCGGTGGCTTGGGAACAGTCATATGCGTACCTATAAGATTGATGCTTTGCTAGGATCCTGGGTCAGTGTTTGTCAGAAGCAGAACTACCTAGGTACTGCCCGGGCAGTACAGCGTTATCTGTACATGACGGGATGGGAGTCTAAATGCCAAAATTCAACGCTACCGCTTCCTAAGTCCCCTCCCTAAACCCGGAGACCTTTATCCTTTTAACCTTTCAAGACTTTACAAGTTTACCAGCAGCTTTAGGTGATCATCTAATTTTAAAAACGCGTCAAACAGTCACTTGACGCGCCTCCCACAACGCTACCTTATCCTGCATCGTAAGCCTTGCATACCCCCAGTCGATGGTGTTGGGGTGGCCGCGCCCTTCTTTTGAGCGCTGGACCAATGCCGCGCAAGCGACGAAGTGGGGGCCGTCAGCACTGAGAATCCCGCGTCACACGAGCCAAGCCGATGCCTAGTGAGATCGGAGGAACTTTCCAGGCACCCAACAAGCTTTCTGACAGCCATCTGACATCCAGGGTATGAATTACGCCATGCTCGGCGAACGATTTGCTGTGAACCTCTGGTGTGTGCTTACAAGTGATCCACGCAGGGAGGGTTTCGTGGCGCCGGGTGGTGCTTTGGTGAGGTGTAAGTGAGCGGTCTATGAAACGTCAGCAGAGGGACTTCAGGAATTGTGCCAAGTGAGAGTCGTGTATTTGCCCTCCAAGATGGGTAAGATGACGCGCAAGTAAAGGTCATGCCATGACGGACAGCCGAGCCGAATGAACGGAGTGGACGTCGGAAATTACATTTCACGGCAATGCACTTCATCTGCGGGTGTGTGCGTGTGAGTCTTGATTGCCTGATCAAGTGCATTTTCCTCGCAATGCGCAGTCCTTTTTTCACGGGTACCACCAAAAAAAAAAAAAAAAAGATGACGGCACTGGCTAGCGCAGTCGTATCTGCTTCCCCGATTAGGCAACGGTGAAGGAGTCACTGTAAATGTGGGCCGCACCTTACCTTTTTCCTTTTTGCTCAAGGTGAAGTGGAACCCAGTCAAGCCGGGCCCGCGTACCTGGTCCGGTACCCACACTGCCGCGAGTCCGGGGAAACATTTTCCTCCTGCTTTTGATTTCCAATGACTACGAATGCACCTTGACCTGCAATGTTATTCTTTTGGGACAATCCAACATATAAGGACCTCGGTTTGCCACCAGAATGGCCGAAAAAAGCAGGCAGCAATCCCAACCTTATCCGCGTCAACGCATCATGTCTGTCAACGCCGCTCTACCTCCGTCCCAGCGGGGCCAAAAAACAGCTGGAGCCCGGCCAGATTTGATGGATGACCTCAGCAAACGGCTCGAGAGCAACCCGTACGATGCGACAAGTAACCCCAAGGGCATCATTGATCTTGGGTCCGCTGTTAATGAGATTATGCTGGAGGACTTGGCCTGCTGGACAAAGCGGAATGTCAAGAAGAGCCAACTCAAGGAGTGTAAGTGATTCCAGCCCAACCTTGATTATCACGTCTAGCCATCTTGCTGATGCCATCTCCAGCTCTTGGCTACGGCGACAGCCAGAATTCTCAAGACCTCCCAAAAGCAGCAGCAGCTTTCATGAACGAACACTTCAAGGTCCGCCTCCCACTAACAGCCGATAACATCCTCGCCGCAAATGGCGTGACGTCACTCCTTGACGCTCTCACGTACAACATCACCGACGCAGGCGACGCCGTGCTCCTCGCGACGCCCTCGTACGGCATGTTTGCCCACGACGTCTGGACTCGCAACGGCGTCCGCGTGGTAGAGGTACCCTGCGACGACATCCCCGAGGAGCGCTTCTGGGGCGAGCCGCCGCGTGAGGACGGGCCCGTGCCGGTACCCGAGCTAGTCGTCCGTCTAGAGAATGCGATCCAGGTCGAGCTGAGCCAGAAGCGGAAAGTTGGGGGTGTGTTGTTGGCGAATCCTGATAACCCGATGGGTCGGTGTTATGCTGCGCATGTGCTGCTGCAGATCTCGCAGCTGTGCGCGAGGCATAAGATCCATTTGATTGTGGATGAGGTGTACGCCATGAGTGCCGGGGATCGGTTCTCGAGTATACTGAGTCTGGGGCTGGATGTCAACTTTAGGAATGTTCATGTGTTGTGGGGGTTGAGTAAGGTGAGTTGCCATCCCTGCACGGGGCCGTTCTGCCGGGAGTGTGGGGACCCTTGTCCATCGCCTTCGGCTTCGGCTTCGGAGGAGGAATCACGAACACATCCGACTGACTCTTTTCCCTCCCCTGTAGGATTTCGGCCTCGGTGGGCTCAGGATCGGCTTCCTGGCGACGTACAACAAGGAGATTTACGATTCCATGCGGGCGTCGAGGTGAGTCACCCAGCTTTTTCGGCTTACTGACACACGGTGTACTCCGTACGCCCTACCAAGCACATCAAGCTAACGATTTCGTATCAACAATTAGCACATTCGGGTGGGTCTCTGCACTCAGCGCATCAACAGCCGCGAAACTCCTATCGGACGCAAAGTACCTCCGCAACCAGTACCTCCCCCAGTTCCGTCGTCGCCTGACCAAGAGGCGCGCCTTTGTCGAGGAGGAGCTGGAAAAGTACGACATCCCGCACGTCAAAGCCGAGGCGGGCTTCTTTGTGTTTGTCAACTTGTCCGAGTGGGTGGATCTCCTGCTCGAGAAGCACGGCAAGCAGGGGGATTTGAAGTTTGTGGAGTACTTGATGAAGTACCGCGTCTATCTCGAACCCGGACAGGTGAGTTTGGTGGTGTCTGTCGTGTGCCAGAGATGCTCCGGTGGTGGGAGCGGACCCAATGATGCACAGTTTGCTGATGATAGGTGATGCGCGGCAGGCATTCTTCTCCAACCGGTCGGGATGGTTCCGACTCAATTTTGGCGGGGAAAAGGAGACGTTCAAGCTCGGTCTGCAGAGGCTGTTCCAGTGTCTGAGGTTGCTTGACGGCAAGGACCACTTTGACCCGACGATTGGCCTTCCTGGGATCTATCATCCTCCGCCAAAAGGCAGTCATATCGTCGCGGTATGAGAGGAAGTACGGTAGTAGTATTGAGCATGTTTTGGGTACAAGAAAAGTCGCCGGAGGAAGGACGTCGGGGAAAAGCTGAGGATACCCTTCCCGAGAGTCCGATCGCTTCGGAAACGGCACGGTGAGATTAGCCGGAGCTTGATATGTCGCATGTCGCGGCGAGTCAACGCTACAGTTGCATGAGACTTCTGTCAGCTGATGTGCGCTACACATATCTTTAAGGTTGTGCGCTGCTCTTTCTTATTTTGGGAAAAATAAATTGATTGGTGGGAAGCGAGGTCTTCGGATCGACGGCGTTGACCGAAGTGTCGGGTTTGTCTGGGGGAGTTTTTGTGGATCGTCTGAGGTTTTTGTCCCATATTTCCCTCGCGTTCGTCTTGTTTTATGTCGATCTCGGACTTGAGGCCGGTTGCGTGATCGACGTCTGAACCGTCTTCTTTGGTATTCTGGGTCAGGTTTCAGGATTGTATTGCACGGAAGGAGCCAGCGACGTAAGGTAGACAATCAATGACTTGTATATTGGACGACAGTACTTCTCAGGAGAACGCAATTCAAAGTGACATAGTCTAATTGGTTCCAGTGTGTCTTAGACTACGAAAGGTTCGCTCAGTCTCGTAATTGATTGACCAGGGACCTCTTGCTGACATGTTCTCTTTGGACTGAGTTGTAAACAAAGAAGTTGGCCCATCGAGAATGTGGATAGCAGGATTTAGAGTTTGCCCTGCTTTCAGATGACTCCCTGTAGTTGATTGCCTCGAGTCAATACTCCCAGTTTCAGTCAATGACGGCGAGTCAGGAGTCATCACCACCATATCGGTCTGTAAGTCGACACACGATGGCAGAAAGATCCATAAATACAAAGACAACAGCTCTTTCAAAGCACAGAATGATTGCAATATACTCTTCCTTATAATCTATCAATTGCTGGCATTTGAAAATATTAATCCTACTTCATTACTTCAATACTTTAGACCGCCATCATGCGTTTCTCAGCCCTAGCCCTCCTTCCATTCTTAGCCACGGCTGTCATTGCCCAACAAAAGGGTGATAAGGGTACGTTCATAATCCATTATCTTTCAACATCAGTGGCCCGACAAAGGCCAGGAAATCTGTACTGACCCAGAGTTGTCTAGGCGAATGTCGGAATGACGCCGACTGTATCCGATGTGTAAATGGCGTCACACCACTCATCTGTAAAAGTAGGCAAAACTGCCCCCAACCCAGCAGTCTGACCAGCTGGTCTTGAGTTACTGATTCTCGAATGATCTTGCTAATGTTTTATCAATCTAGCTGATGCCACCTCAACGACTGGAAAGCGGTGCGGTGTGACGGGCGGGCCTTGTCGTCCTCTCAACAAGAGGAGGTGGCAGGAGCGTATGATTTGAAAAGGACTGATTTACGGCACCCAGAGGCGTTGTTGTTTGTATCCATCCATAGAAAGGCGGAGCCAGTATGCCGCTTGTATATCTTGCCTTCTTCTTCAACAGGACTGAGCAACACTTGTTTAGTTAGCCTAATGGCGTGGTGGGAGGCAACTATCGTTGCGAATGAGTTTTGCGACCACAATAGGTTCAAGGCTGAAGTCCACCTCCTCGGGTCGCTCCTCGGGTTGTCTGATGACCTTTCATCATCTCGTTCTTCCCGCGCAGACGTATAGTTTCCCCAGGGTATGCCTAGAAGTTGTAGAGGTTTCGTCTATGCCTAATGAGGAATTCTTCCAAGTCTCTCTCCCTATCGCGGTTCATCTGTTTCCGACGCAAGTGTCTTGAGAAGCTCAACGTGACAAGGAATCAACCCTTTTGTTAGGCCATATATGTCCCGGACGGTTGGGGCCACCTCGGACGGTGTGGAAGCGCATCATGCAATGGTCCTTGCGCAGGAGGTACAGCTTCTGGTACTCCCGGTGTTGAGTCTAGGGAGAAGATAATAGCGCCTAACAGTACTCGAAGGACATCCTCGTCCATCTTCTCAAATGTAGGCATGGTTTTGGCAGAGCGGGCCCGTTCTCATTCTGTTCCACTCAATGCCAGCATTGAAAGCTGAGCTCACGGTCAACCTTGTCATGATTAACAGGGCGTATGCATTAGAAGTCGGATATATTATGCTTCTCCTTGTATTCCTCGAGGTCATTAATAGTGTATCCACTCTATGACCTCGCCTCGAAGAGCCTCAAGCTCGTTGAGGTCATTGGTGATATAGCCGAATAGGAGCACCTGGTTGATGATACTGTCAACCAAACTTACGCGAAGATCTCACCATGAGATAGAAGTGAGAGGTGTCTGTATTTGGCGGCGCCTTGCTGCTATACTCTTCGGGCATCTCGGTGTCGATTACGGTATTAATTATAGCGCTAATCATTGTATCGATGATGGTAGCGTCTTCAGCGGTGGCTGCAACGTCGACAGTTTTGGCCTTCAGCTGCTGACTCTGCTGGTCCTGGGGATACTCTTCCTCCAGATGGTGAAGTTGGGCGTTGTTATGTTGACAGGTCTGGGGTCCTTGTCGATACTCTTCATCGTCGGGGCTTGAAGGGTACCCTGAACAATTTTCGAGATGTCTCAGGAATGTCATTCATATATGGCTGCTGCGACGGCTTCACAAGTTCTACTTGAGATAAACGTTAGATTAGTGCGTGTTACAGTTGTGTATTTTCATTACTTACAGATTGGCCTGTAAAGAGGCGTTTGTCCAGGTAGTGCTGGCTGAGGAGGTCCTTCAGCGTTTCCAGAGTAACAAAAATGGAGGCCCGTCAATATCATAGAAGGATTTCGGGTCTGCTTGCTCAATTAGTCACTTGTTGACCACGTTCCAGATCTGTATATCAATTTACTTAGTCGGCATGCTCCGGAAGTCGACTGGGGTCGCGCTCGATTGAACGTGCTGCAGTACCGTGAATCGCAGGGCCCGGGTATATCTAGCGCTAACGGCACGCCTTCTTCGAAGTCCTACAAGGGCTGCTTGTGAGTAGTACTTATTATTAAAGTAAAAAAACCTGGCAATCATTCGACATCACTGTCTCCAGCAATTCCAGGATTATGAAGGAAAAGAACAAGAAAAGTTCATTACCATGTCTCCAACGTTGAGGATTGGAGTAAGGTAGGATGAAAGGAAGGGACTGGCCTCCGACCCTTCATACTGATCGACCATTATGCTCCTGGCTTTGAGCTGAGGAGTACTCGGCTGGAAGTCCGTAATGTCGTCAACATATTCAATTCGGACTTGGGCCACAATAGTAAGGCGACGGAGCTCTTTCTCAGGTCTTAGATGCCGAAAACGCTGACCTTCTTCCTGAGAACAGGCCCCGTGGTGTAACAAGTTTTTCACAAGCTGAGAAGCTTGAGCACGGCAAAACTATACTGGAAGAGTCAGGAGTTGATCTTCGTTCTTCGAGGAAAGAACATTAGATTCCCAGGTTCTCTTCCATGTTCTCTTCCATGTTCTCTTTCTTGACCGCTTCCTTGGTTCGCCTGAAGCAGGGACGTAAACCGACGAGTGAGGCATGCTTCTCGTCATTGAGTTCATTGGCTTTTTGGTCGCTCCCAAAGTCTCCTTGCCTTGCTCCGAATTTTTGGAGATGGACTGGAGACAGTGTAACAACAGCTAAAGATAGACTCGAAGATCCTCGTTTTGTGAGAGGGTAAAGATGTTACCTCACGACGAAAGAATCGGTCTGATGAGGAAGAAAGAGACGCCCGTGCTAAAACACAGACTCGGGAGGCCACGCAGTGGGTATTTCCCGGGTTGTAGACGGACACAATACCAGATTGATCCACAGCTCTCGAGCGTCATCTAATAACGGAACAATGGAAGGCTTGAAGTGATCGTCAAGATATTGGGGGAACACCGCATTACGTGGTGAATAGTATCTTCTTGAGGGCCCGGGAAACAATATGGGTGATGCCGGTGAAATGTTCTGCAGATATGGTAACATCGAGATCTCACCGTCGTAACATGGGGATCCAGCACAGTGCGTTCTGCTAGATTGGGGGCCCAGGGGTGTACAGAGGGCCGAGAGCGCGATTTACTCGAGACATTGGCATTGCTGTCTCAACTAACGGTCGCAGGCACGTAGACGGTGCCTTTCCCTACAGAATGTCAGGATGGCCATAATGTGGAGGTGTTTGTATACTTACTTGGCCGTTCTGTTGGTTAATTCATAGTAAGGTCGACCCCTACAATATCTTGAGTGGGCACTTGGAATAAGTAAAGATATACTCCTTCGGAATACTTAACAGCTTTTACACGTCCAGATATATGTAGCGCGTGTAAGTTTCTATGGCGTATTGCTGAATGACAGATGCATGCCGTAGGTGCTCAGGTACCACAGAGCGGCCGTACTCTAGCCCGGGGACCCGTGAAAAAGACCGCGGACTTTGCGGGGGCCGACCTCGAAGTAACACTCCTAAAAAGGGTCGTAGTCGGGCAAGTAGAGGAGGAGCGTTTCCCCCAAATCCTAGCAGCTAGGCATTATGCAGACGCGCTCATTTTCAGGCCAAGCCTTCTAAACAATATAGTAGAACAGTCTCAGATAGGCGGCTCAGTCGCAGATATGGTTAACCATCGGCCTTGTAATGACCAGGGTCAAGTAATCGTTACGCTGCTCCAAGAGGAACACAAACATCGCCGAGAGTTCGTTCTTGACACAGTGAGCCTCGTCGACGATGATGCGATGCCCAAAGGGAACTTTAGTCAGGTGCGAGGGAAATGTACATTGAAGGTCAGAATGATGTACAGAAGACCCAGACACTGAATAGGAGCTGGATCAGTTATGGATGGCATTCGGCCCCGGGGACATGGTTTATGTATGAATGGAGCAGTTTTGCGGAAATGAGAGAGATGTTGTATGTGTAAGGAAGGGAAAGAAGCTCCAAGGCCAAGGCTGGGGATGTAATTGGACTGAGGCCCACCACCGCGCTCAGCTATTGTAGAAGGGGGTATCACCATGAACAAATCCTCAGGACCACCAGGCGCTTGGGATCCATGATATTAGTGAACATTAGCCTGGGGCTTTTCCTTGACCGAACATAAACAAAAGCTGTTGGTCTATAACAAGGGGATATAAATACTTGACGAAGTTTATCAATTGCTGCTTCATGTCTCTTTATGACTCTAATCTATCTATGGTTTGTCCCGAATCGTTCTTGTTCTTTGTCGATATCGGCTTGTGTGCTCTTGTGATTGCCAGATTGTCCGCAATGCACCTCTACCCAGCAAAGCCAGCAAAACCAAGCCCCAACTGATACCACCCAAACACCGAATAACAAAGACTAAACCGAATGAACATGAAAGCACTCCTCCGCACCATTCCTATGATTGATTGACCAGCAGCCATCCCTTGTTAGCCGCCAGTTCACATGCGACGCAGCTCCGTCATGAGCTCCGCTCCACGAGAGGTAGCCTTGATGAGATCCCATTGCAGAGCCACCTTCTCGTCCTGAGATCTAGCAAGTAGAGTGTGAAGAGCCTCGTTCTCAGCGCGCAGCTTGTTGACCTCATGGCGCATCTTCTCCATGGCAGCGCTCTGGTCGTTCTTCTTGGGAGTTGCACCAGAAGCAACGGGGCTTTGCGGAGTTCCGCCGACCAGAACACCATCCCATCGAACTCTAAGAACCGGGTTCTTGGCGATCGGAGTCTTCTGGACAACAGTGGCGGAGGGACCCTTGTAGGGGATGGTTGGGTTCTGCTTGTACGCGCGGGCAAACTCGGTCTCTCGAACGAAGTCGGTCAATCTGTCGAGGCTGCGAAGAAAGCGCTTGAGCTCTGGGACGGTAGTCGGCTTGCAAGAGTAAGGCTTTTCCTGATGGACCCAACGTGCGTTCAGAATGGTGCTCATGACATTACCAATCTCCTTGCCGCAGAAAGGGACGCAGCGGAATGTACCCAGGCGGATGAGCTTCTCCATAGCGAGATCCCAGGCAGATTCACTCACACTGCCAAACATGGACTCCGGGTTCTTGGCAACCCACAGGGCTAGAGTGATGAGGTCATGGCCACGATTGGCAATGACGATCTTGCGATCAATGTCGCCTTGCACCGCCTCGTTTTGCTTCTCATAGCGGTCGCAGACAATATTGATGAATTCCGTTTCGGTCTTAGTCGGCGTGCCAGTATCACCAAAACTCTCCTTGAATCTTAGGCCCGGCAAGGTCTTGAGCGATTCGTACCATTGGGGCTTGGTTTGAGACTGAGAGGTCTTGGGGGTGGAGGATTTGGTGGCCATCTTGGGTGTTGATTCTTTCAAGGGCAAGTTAGTCCTGGGAATTCACCGAACCTCGAAGCATCTCGAGTAGTTGTTACCTTGATATTAACCAACGCTGCTGGAGGAGAAGCAAAGCGTGAGGTGGCGCGCTCTCTCTCTGATCCGAGGTGTGCTCAGATATCGGAATGCGAAAGGAAGAGGAAAGCAGGGCACGACGGAGGTGTCAGAGATGGATAGCTTGCAAAGCAAAGTACAGTAAAGATGTGCAAGGCGAAGTGATGAGTTGACGCGATTTTCCCTGGTCCGGATTGCGGAATTGGAATGGGGAAAGAAGAGAAAGGATTGAGATGGAGGGCGAAGAGGAAAGTATAGCGCAAGAAAGGCGGCAGAGATGGAGGATGTGCAATGTAAACAAAAGAGGGGGGGTGGGGGAGGGTAGTAGAGGGTGAGTGTTGGTGAATGTGGCTCGACGCGACGCGACGGTGAATGTGAATCTACGTGGCGGGGGATATGATTCATTAGGAAGGAGCCATACGGCCACCTGGTATGGTCTATAAGTCAGAAGATTGCTGAAATGTTTACCCATCGGATGAGAAGATGCCTTTGGCGTAATAGTTGGGACTGATGCCACTCCTGACCTCAGCGCTAGGTAATTGACCCCGGTGGCTTTCTATTTTTTGGAGGTCATGAGTTCAATTCATGGATAGTGACTCCTTTTTCTATTCTCGCCCTTTGTTTGTCCCACCTACTCATCGAGCTGTAACATTGTGAGCCTCGACGTAGACCCAGAGATACATACCCTCAAGGTAGGGTAGCTGGCTCAGGTGCTTCAGTAAACAGATGAACAAGTATTCTTCCTACACTCCACGCGGCTATTATGGAAACAGACACACACTCGCTAGGTGGATTCATCCTCGTTACTATAGACGAGGTAGAAGGGATGGGCTGGTACTTTTGAACAGCAGACGGCGATGGCCTCGGGTAAGTGTCATTGTTACTAGATCTAGAATGCTTACTAAGGCTCTTTTTTCCAGAGAATCTTCCATCCAGAGTACTAATCACAAGTTATTGAAACATCATCAGGTGCAGAAGGATAATCTCATTTGACGGATCGATTTACTAAAAGCATGGGACTGCCTCTAAATTCAACCGTCCTGTCTCTCACTCTTCACCCACTCAATCCTCTGCGCTGATATTGGCTTGCTGTAGCCTCCATTCACCAAATCCGGCGGCGGGCCTTCTTGGCCTCGTCGAGCTCAGTGCGCAGAGCTTCGTTGACGGTCTCGAGAGTCTCCTGCTCCTCAAGTCGGGCAATATTGGCGTTTCGAAGGGCAACCAGCTCCTCGGATCTCGCCTGAGCCGCCTGGAGGGCTTCATGGGACTTGGCCTGGGAAGCTCGGAGCTGAGATTCCAAGTCCCGGATTCTCTTGTTGACGTCCTCTTGATTGCCCTGCATGGCCTGCTCCTGCTTCTCTATTAAACGTCAGTGAAGTGCCCCAGAGCTTGACTTCGATCCAGTTGCAACAGGTAACTCACCTGACTCATTCTTGGGATGAGGACGGTACGGCAGACTCATCTTGTTGCCGGAAGGGGCGTTGTAAGACGAGGCGATGGAAGGCTTGTTAGGATGAGGGCGAAGCGGCAGGGAGAATTGGTTGTCGGCAGGCGCGTTGGGCTCGAAAGAAGTGGAAGCCCTCATCTTACGTTCGTCGAGAACAGCGATCCACTCGTCGAGGGTGGCGAGGAAAGCCTCAAGGACGGGGTTGGGCTCTTCGATGCTGCTATTGTTGGCTCTGAGGTGCTGGGTGCGGGCGCGAATGATCCGATCGACGACGAAAATCACCGAATCGATTCCAAGCGCATCGGAATCGGGCCACTCGTGGGAAGGGCCAGAGTCTCCAGCGAGACCGTTGAGAGCAGCGCCATACAGAGTACTGAAGTTGGCGTGTTTGCCCGAGATGTGGACATTGATGATCGCGCGGAAGAGAACATTGCCGCGGTTGGCAATGTAGTGCTGGCGAAGAGCAATGTGGTCCCTTCCATGGACAGAATCGTTGTGGCCGAACAGCTTTAGGTAGGCTGCATTGACTCTGCGGTTGAACAGAGGAGCATCGCCTTCAATGTAGAAGTCGAGGCCTGGAAATTCCAGGATCGCCTTTACCCAAGGGCGATTATTGGGAGGCATTCTGCTGCTTTGCGGTGATAGCTGACGATGTTGTTCTTGTTGCTACCAACTGTCTTGAATGGGAGTGAGAAGAAGAAGAAGAAGAAGAAAAGAAAAAGGAAAAAGGCAAAAGCGGAAGAGTGGAAGTCTTCGATGCTAGGTGGAAGTCGGTTGCTTCCTTCCCAGTTTATGACAGTCAGGATTGTTATGAAAATTTCTGTCGTGTGGGCAGCTGGAGGTTCACGTTGTTCTCTGGTGAGAAGCCTTAGACCAAAGTCAAGTGGGCCGCAAGAATACGACGATAATACCACAGATGAAGGAATACACATATCATTGCCTGATAGATGTCGCGAGGCAAAAGTCACCAAAAGTATAATCTACAAGGGGATTCGAACTCACGACCTTCAAAAATAGAAAGCCACCGAGGTCAATTACCTAGCGCTGAGGTCGGGAGAGGGCATCAGTCCCAGCTATTACGCCAAAGGCATCTCCACATCCGATGGGTGACAGATGAGAAGAATAGTTGACACATATAGGCTCGAAGTCTGGTGAGATTCCTGAGGCTTCATCCGCAGCCCACAAATCTACTCGCGTCATCAAAACTGGCAGGTACTACCCGACTTTTCTTCAGTAGTCGGAAAAACAATTTTACTCCCAATCTTCACTTCCTGAACATCCCGATACCTCCATACTCGTGCCCATGCCTCTATCTGACCTTGGTGGAAAAGATCCACCGTCAACCTGATACGATGCCTCACAAAGCTGGGGTCTCCAGCATATATGCAGTCTAGACCTACGAGACCAGGTGGTGAACCAAAGGGGAAGAAGGAAGGTTCATGATGTTGCCAAATATGCTCTGGTCATACGAGAAGGAGAAGCTCATACATAGCTAAACAAAATGGAGAAGAGGCGGGTGATATTATCGAGAAATATGTGGAAGGACGAGTGACTGCGGAGGTAGAAATGGAGGCCGCCGTTGGAAGTCACCATTGGGACTTGAGAAAATACTCATGACAAAGCCGTGTTTTGCTCTATGATTGGCAGGGCTAACAGAGTAAGGCACTTTTTCAAGGGGCTGCAAACAAAAAATCCGAGCCCGAAGGAGGGATCGAACCTCGACCCCAAAAATAAAAGCCACCGGGGTCAATTACCCAGCGTTGAGGTCGGGAGTGGGCAGTCCCAACTATTGCGCCAAAGGCATCTCCGCGTCCGATGAGTGACAGATCGAGAGCAGAAGTTGTGCATATGGCCTTACGGCGTCACAGTGTCTCCACAAATACTGACAATGACGGGAGAAAAGCGGTGCTATTGGATGCTGACAGACATTCCCCAGGTAATATGTTTCTCTGATCAAAACATTTCCATGCGGGCATGTGCCTCGTGCTGCCCTCACTTGCTTAGACGTGACGACTTTGATGAGACGCCTTATTTCAAGCACCGGTACTCCACCTACCTTACCTTAGTGTGATATCCCGGCATGGTTAATTACACGCTTGGAGCACTCTCTGGAATGGATGGTGGGTCGTCTGGAGGAGAAGGTTTGCGGGCGCGATTATGTAATGACCCCTACTTCCGTAATGTTATTCCAACTACATCCCTTCGACTTGTGACATTTTCCTCACTCCCTCCTCAATAAATTATTCCTTGGGTATGTTTATCGTTTCACGACGAAATTCCGGCTTACTCATATACGCTCAATCCTACCTCTAGGACCCGCCGTTCACGATGCCGAGATGTGTCCCTGTCCCGCCAAGATGTTGCCCAGACTTCCAAGTCTCCCCTCACCACTCATATTCCATTCTGATTCTCGCACATCTCGAGACAAACGATGCGCTAAGACGCAGGATTGGGACCAAGACCACCACCATTGTCATGACGACTTCGATAAGAAGCTTGGCAGTGCGGGGACGCTGGCTTGCAACTTTTGGCCTGCGAATGAGGCACAAAATGAAAGTGAGGGAGGTTTTTTTCTACGTTCGTTTCTGCGAATCCTAGAAGGTCTATAAATTTCCCTCATTTCCCTTTGGATTACCTTGAATTCCAGCTATTTTGGAACTCAAGCTAGAGCGGACAGTCGAAGATTTGCGCTCAGCGCCTCGTGAACCTTCTCGGTTACTCCCGCCGCCATGAAACTCTCCGTTTTAAGCCGAAAGGCTGAGCCAGTTGCAAAAGATCCCACTTTTGTCCCGATTGAAGTTGAAGAGGCTCTCAAAGTTGCTCCTGAGGTTCGAGATTATGCTGGCGCGCATGCGAAGTATGACCCAGCCGAGATCGCCCTGGTGCGTCGTCTTGACTGGATGATTATGCCTATATTATGGTAAGAACACCTTCCCACCCGGATTTGAATATCTGCTTGTACTGACGGAAATTTTAGGTTCATGTACTGGCTCAATTACTTAGTGAGAATGTTCCAAATCCAAGACCTCTCAGCATACATTTCTGACCTGCGTTCAAGGACCGCAACGCCATTGCCCTAGCCAGACTGAACACCCTCGAAGAAGACCTCAGCCTCACCTCGACAGAATACCAAACATGCGTCTCGATACTCTTTGTCGGATACGTCATCGTCGGTATCCCCGCAAACATGGTCGTGACGCGCGTCCGCCCGAGCCTGTGGATGAGCTCCTGCATGGCCGTCTGGGCTATCATTAGTGCCCTTACGGCAGTCAGCCAGAATTACACGGGCTTACTGCTCACCCGGTTCTTCCTCGGCATCACTGAAGCGCCTTACTATCCGGGTGCGCTGTATGTCCTCGCTACGTTTTACACGCGTAAGGAGTTGGCGACGAGGATATCGATTCTGTATACTGGTAATATCCTAGCAACAGCCTTTGCTGGATTGATTGCGCTTGGAATCTTCCAAATGCATGGGATGGTTTGTTTTCATGTTCCCACTGCGTAGTCTGGACGCTGAATATTACTAGGCCGGTATCGCAGGTTGGAGATGGCTCTTCATCATCCAAGGCGTAGTCACCCTCATCATCGCCATAATAGCCTTCTTCATCCTCCCCGACGAACCCCTTACAACAAGATGGCTCAGCCCTGAAGAGCGGATCCTAGCAAACGAACGAATCTTGCGAGATACAGTCGGAAACACCGGCCAGACTACGACATGGTCCGGTCTCCTCGAAGCTGCCAAGGACCCCAAAGTCTGGCTTTTCACTGCGATGCAGCACTGCCACTTAGGCGCCAATGGGTTCAAGAACTTCTTCCCGACCGCGGTCGAGACGTTGGGATTCAATGAGACGATTACGTTGGTGCTTACTTGTCCTCCGTATCTGATTGCGGGAATAATATCGATTGCCTGGTCCTGGTCCTCTGGGAGATTCAATGAACGTACTTGGTCAGTTTGAGACCAGCTGTCAGATTTGAGTGACGTACATGCTGATCATGTATGAAGGCACATCACCATCGCAAAATCAATTGCAGTATTCGGCTTTATCCTCGGCTGCGCTACCCTGAACACAGGTGCTAGATACTGTAAGCGACCGTCCCTTGCAACATGTCCACAGGTTGCTAACATCTCAGTCTCAATGGTCGTCTTTTCTGTAGGGACATATGCAGTGAACTCAATCATACTGGGGTGGGTCTCGGCGACTTGCTCTCAGACGAAAGAGAAGAAGGCCTCCTCTCTCGCCATCGTCAACTGCATTGCCGTCGCATCCTTCATCTGGACACCCTACATGTGGCCCAAGTCCGACGAGCCTCGGTACGTCATGGCGATGTCTTCGAGCGCGGCGCTTAGCGTTGCGACCGCCATGGGCGCGTGGGCGATGCGGTTCTGGCTCAAGAATGAGAACAGGAAGATTCGGCAGTCCGAGAACGAAAACGTTCTGTTCTATGCGTATTAAGGGCGAGATAATGAGAGAGACACGCAGGACGCTTCGCACAAAGACATTGTTGATTATTTCCTCCACATGTCTTTCAGCCTAGACACTCAATGACATAGCAGTCCCTGAAGTACCCCTTCCCATTGTAATCCCCGAAAGCAGCCACGGGATGCCTGTTCACCAACTGCCACATCTCACAGTCCTCCTCGACTCCATCGATGGTCATCCTGATTGCCCGGCCCTTCCGTCTTTCCCTAAGCTCAAGCTCCAACGCTGACTTCAAGTAGACCCACGCAACGATGTCAGGACCAGTGAGACCCGAGGAAATCAGTCTTGGAAGCAGATAGTCGAGGACGGTGGTGATGAAGTTTGTGCCCTCGGACAAGCCTGCAGCCATCCTGAGCAGGACATCCACCCGAAGAACAGTGAACTGCTGCCGCTGTTGCATGTTCATGCCACAAACGATACCGAGAATGACTTTTGCAAGCGCATCTGTGCCCGAAGACTGCACCGATGGGTCGAATAGAGAGCGGAGGTAGCTGCACGTCATCCTACACACGAGATAAATCACGTACTCGAGAGCCTTTTTCGTATCACTGAAACGGTAGGTGACAAAAGTCTCAAACGTAGCGCCACTGATCAGATCAGAATCCGCGCCAAGATTGACGACCGGCATATCATGGGTGCAGAGCCCCTTGTGCCAGTTATCCAGCCTGTGAGAAAACACATCGCACTGCCGCAATATCGTGTCTGGGGTTAGGTTCTCCTTGTGGAAGTCCTTGAGGCGCACATTACGGCGATCAGATTCCCGGCCGAGGACGGACATAAGCCACAGTGCGACTTTCTCTGAAGCGCTATTGCCGTCTGCAGCGGTATCTTGGCTGAATGTAGCCTCCATCGCATAGCGCGCATGGAGTCCATGTAACCTAAACAGGATATCCCGAATGGCTAGTTGCGGATCAAGTAAACTCGAGACATCGTAATTGTCTACAACATTGCAGGTCGCTCGCGTCGGCAGCATCATGAAACGAACATCGTAGCGAAGCATGCGCCAGGCTTTGAAGAGGTCGGGGATAGACGACGCTGCGAAGTCGAGCTTGGATGCGATGGCGTCGAGGCCGGTCGCGTGGTTCCTGATTCCAAGGGCTGTGCCGGCTTCCAGCTCGTGGTAGGCAAGCAGCAATGCGGCGCCTGCGAGCTCCTCGCCGCGGTAGTTTTCGACGTTCTGAAGTTGGGCTTGGAGCCCCTTGACCGCTGTGTCATAGTAGATCCAAACGCTGCTATCGTCGCATACTCGACGGAGCACGAGCGGGTCGATGGGAAGAGGTTGCGTCAGCTTGATATTGCTGGCGGACAGAGCTAATACCGCTGATCGGAAACAGCTGCTCTGCCGGAAGAGATTCGGAAAGGAGAGTGCAACTGGTATCAGGGGGAGAACGTTCCTGTCGAAGTGCTGGATAAGGACCTCTTCCAGAGGTATCGATAGCTGGCAGTCTACCATCGGTTCACCTAGGGGAGATGAAGTGGACGTGGAAGACCCCGGAGACGAACCGTCGGTGACGAGGAACTCGTCCCAACCAGTCGTCAAGGCTGGGCTTGGGGCTTCCCCTGCTGGTGCCGAGGTGTTTGGTATTACTCCGCTTGCTAGCATCAGGCGGTTCGCGGAATTCTCGAGCGATGCAGGCTTTTCTATTTCGCTCGAGGTAATACTTGGCCTGACTACCTCCTGTTGTTGTTGAGGTGGACCTTGAATCGCGGAAGAAGCACCAGATGTGTCGAAAAGTGACCACGGTAAAGTAAAGGACCCAGCGAGCCAGCCCTCAGCGTTCGTCGCGTGCCATGGAGGCATAGGTGCCGGCACCGGAGCTGTCAACATATCATCTCTTGCCGGCAATTCTATGATGTTTTCCGGCGTTGATGACTCCCGAGCGGCAGGGGACAGCTCCCCGGTTGATCCAATACGGCGTCGTTTCCTTCGCTCATCTTCAAGACGCAGGGCCGCCCATCTAGCTTCCTCAAACTTCCTCGAAGACTCGGCTGCCCGAGTGGTGACGTCTCTGAAGGTCACGGGGCGCTCGTAGCCGCTGCATTTGACTCCTTTCTTCACACAAGCCAGGCATTCCGGGCGTGTCTCGTCACACTGCCTACGAGTCAGCTGAAAGGGACTTTTACAAAGTAGGGGAAGTGGCGACGTGAGACTCCACCGAGGGATGTGTGACCTTTCTTCTTTTCTTTTTGCAATTTTGACAGCCCGTTCGCTTGCGAACAATGTCAGTCTTTTTAGGGCGGGAAGAGTGGGATTCCATCGGTGGCGTCGAGCCGAGTAAGACACCGTTGAAGCCAAGCTTTCAGCGGCGGGTAGACGGGCTTGATGGCTGTTTCAAGTCGCTTAGGCGTTCATCAAAGTACAGTAGATGCACTGCTGCGTCCTTGAGTTCTGCGAAATATGCAGATATGACCAAGGGCCCGCGAGAAATGCCAAGAATATCCAGTGATGCCCGCCAGAGGGCAGTGGAAGTGAAGGTGAAGAGCAGTAATTAGCAGACGCGGGTCCAGTTCGGGCGGATAAGCGAGCGAAAGGAGCCTTCCCTATTTTGGTCGGCGGGTGCGCCGCTAAGCCTGTTATGGCTGTGCGGAACGGCGCAGCGGACGAGTCTCCACTGGTCCCGCACCGGCGTTCGGCGATAAGGTTGCCGGAAGATGGGCCGAAGGTAAGGTACCTCACCCAGTTTGAGAATAATACCTCTACGCCAGAAATCACTGATTCCAGGTCATTGGTACCTATATTGTGTCCACGTCAACTTCTTAAAGTGAACCAATGGGATGTCAGTACCTAAGGACACGTAAAGAGGAGGCACTTCTTTCACAAAGTTGATGTGCAACAAGCGTGACTCTATAAATATAAGAGTGGCATCGAAATTACGCAAACACTCACGCTCGGTCGAGTCTGGTTCTTTGAACACGAAAGAATTTAGAAAACCCCCGATTATTCTGACAAGGGCACTAAGTAAGAAGTCCTAGAGATGAAGCTTAGCCATTTTATTGCTTTGCGGTAGTGTTGTAACCCCATCTTTTAGCGGCTAACTGGAACCCGCCTCCCCCAATGCAAGTTGCTGAAACTGCCTCCAGATCGCAAAGGCATTGGCCACAACATCATCCGTCTGCGCCGAATCCGGCTTAATCTCGTCCCCGACGATACGCTCCGAGTCGGAACCAGGTGAAGGCGGCAGCTGGATCCAACCATGCTGAGCCATCACCATCGCTGCCGTCTCCCCCTTCTCATTCAACAAATTCTGAGCCGCCCCGGCCTGGATCAACGCGTCAAAAATTGCGTTCGCGTTTCGTACCCGCTTCTCTCCCTCGGCCGGAGCACTAAGTATCGAGCTGAGGAAGCCATTGATAGTTTCATGGCCAAAGAAGTTGTTGGTTCCGATAGCCCAGCCTACCGTAAATCCCTGCTCCTCGTCAACATCCCACGCCAGGAGGTCGTCCGTTTCCCCGATGGGCAAAGGGCTGGCTATCGAGAGAGTATAGGCGACGTGCAAAGGCGTCTCCCCATCGGAATTGGGGTGATTAACGGGGGCTCCGCAGCGGATGAGAAACTCAATGATCTGTCGGCTCTCTTGAAGGATTCCTGGGATCATTTTCACTCGGCCCATGGTGTCTGCGAGGAGGCTGAGTTCCTCTTCGAATGATCCAAAGACTTTGTGAAGGACTTTGAACACCTGATGGAGTTCCGACGGTCGAGAAATTTCCATGGCAGCCATGAATAACAACATGCGATCGCGGCCGCTGGGGTCTGACTCTGCTCTCTTGGCGATGAGTGCTTTCAGCTTTGCGCTCTGTAGGGACACCCTTTCGGGCTCGGTCATATTCGTGGGATACAATCTCGCTACCGAGGATGACAAGCCGAGCACGACGAGGTAGCTTTTGTCTCCTGGCCTCATATCCGACGCGTTGAATGGATCTGCTCCGGCGTCGAGGAGAAGCTGGAACATATCGGTGGATGCGTAGTAGATGAGGCTGTCCACCACCAGGTTGATTCTGGTTCCTGTTGGCTGGAGGCGCGTACCCTCAGGCGTCCACCCCGCCCACTCGATGTATTCGCGGTTGACATCGAACCCATGGTCAATTAGGAGGCGAAATATCTGCAAGCTGACCTCTAGATCCTCCGGCTTGTGCTCCAGGAGGAAGATTCGTATCACTTCGTGTAGACAAGTCACTTCGCCGTTGTCGTTGGGCGGGTACACCGTCGATGCCCCGTGTTCTAGCAAAAGCTCAACGGCATCCCGGTCCAGGTTCCATATGGCGGCCTCGAGCGGTGATTTGTGATCTAAAAAGACGTGCAACGTGTCCTCCTGTTCACACTGGCAAAAGCCGATCCGCTGTGTCGCCGGACGTGCCCCGTCCACGTGAGCGCCGGCTTTCAAAAGTCGGCGAAGGCCTCTGAGATCCGTGCCTCGTTCGACGTGCCAGAGAAGCAGCGGTTCAGTGTGCATGAATCTGTCTTTGTCGATGGGAATGTTTGGAGCAAGCTCTAAGAGTGTCTCGATCATGGCACCGCTGCTCGCCAGGTGCAAGACACTGATTTGGTGATCGACAAACACCCGTGTGCCGCGGAATGCATAGACCTGCAGCAACGGCTTTTCCAAATCTGCGCCGTACTTGTGAAGGAGTTTGACGATCTCAACCTGGTCGTCCAAGATGGCGTGGGCTAGGACGGAATAGTTTATCCAGATCTTGTGCGTATCGCACACGGGACGATACAAGCGCTCAGTCACGAGTGCAGTCTGGCCCTGCCTTCTGATGGCAACGTTTGACGGCGCTTGAAGCGTCAGGTGTTCAAGTGTGAAGTTCAAGTCGGCCGGACGGGCCATCAATGGCATCGAACAAGCAAAGTTTGCTTCGTAGCCGAGTCTCAAGAGTTCCTCGGCCCGGTCAACTTCCTTTTTGACGACGGCGCATATCATTGCGTTGTATTTATGCGATACTAAATCGCGGTGCAGCAGGAGACTCCGCTCAAATGACGTTGCGAAGCGTTTTTGAGTGAGGGTGAGTTGGAGAATATCGCGGAACGTGAGGTATTCGCATATCCCGTGCATGATGTCTTCTACTAGGGTGGATAGCGAAGCCATGGTGAAGGATTGAATGGTGAGAGCTCCTGTTTTCTTCCTCACGAAAAAAAAAAATAGTGATAGAGATTTTGGAAAGAAGTGCAGTTCTGTCGGACAGTCAGTTAATTGAGATTTTTAAAAGTATAAGGAGGATACTATCCATGACTAGGACAATTCTTTTGATCAAGACCGCCCTGGCAGGGCGGACAGCTCGGATGCCGGCATATCCAAGGAATGCAGCGAAGAGTGGCCAAGAGCCTGACAGCAAGGGAATGAAACAAAAAGAGAGTCGCCTTGGCAGCTGAAATGCAAGACGGGTAATAAGGTCAAGTCACAAGGCAGACTGGGCAGACTTGACAGCTTGGCTACTTACCCCATGGGGGCTATGTGAGCCCGGATCAGGAGATCGCAACGTCGAATCAATTCAACTCGGGGTTTGGAGGGGTTTTGGCATCGCGGAACCGCTCCGCTCCGCACTGCTCCGCGGGCTGTTTAAAGCTTCCTCCCACCGGCTGCATCCAACTCAAGAATTTGGAGCAGCGATATCAGGGGCTGTTTAGGACGATCAGGGCGATGACATCTTACTAGTCACCTTTTTCCATGTTCTCCTTTCCTTTTTATCTTTCGTCCTCACGATACGCCTTAATCGGAATGCTTTAGATCTGTGGATCCACTCTGTCCCATAACCAGGACCCAAGAGCCTTGGCCGCCGATCTTCGCTTATGATTTTCACTGATTGGTTGATATATTTCTCCGCCAAGTCAATTCCGACATCAGGCTATGACGGAAGAAGATCACCCACAGATTCCGCGAGTGGGTAACAAGAGGAAAAGCGTTGCAAGGCAGTTTCCTTCCATCGCGTCGCATCAGCTGGCCGTCGGAGTCAACTCCGACTCTCAATCAGTGTATCAAGACCAATATGCGATAAATGTCACATCGATTACACGTGCATCGGCTTTGAACTGAGAAGACTCCTCAATTACCTCGCCTCCGATTTCAGAGACTGCAGAGGTTCTTCCGCGGAAACGCTAGACCTAGATCACGTCCCATAGATTCTGAGATTGCTCTGCGGGGAGCAATTGGTACACTGCAAGAGGCTTGAACGCTCAGGTAATTGGCCAGCAAAACCATTTGAGGCCAAAATGCCTTCAGAAGCTGACGGATTTCCTCAATAATCGATCGGAAAGTCGAGAAAGTGACCGTTTACGCAGTACACATGAATGATCAAAGATGCGGTGTATCTAAAACCATGTGACTGAACGCCAATGCTCGCAAAAGCCATATCCCCCTCGGCCCCATGCCGAGGCCCACCGCCCGAACATGCCCCACTTCCCCGTTCCAGCTCGCCGGCCAAAGTGGAGTGTCACACCGGCCCTCCGATGGTAGCATCGCGAAAAAAACACGTCAGGAAAGCTAACCACGCCCGACCACAGGAAGGAGTCGAAGGAGCCCGATGGCCGGGTGCTAGTGCAAGGTACTTTCCCCCGCGTGTCCTCGATGTAACATCTCATCTACAAGCGGCTAATCCTCCTGGGTTTTAGCTTGGTTACTCGAAGAAGATTGCATCGCGAATTTAGGCAGCAGACATGTTGCTGTGCCGCAAGGCACCACGGCACAGCAAACAAATGGTCCGCCAGCAATTAAACTGGTGAAACTTGAAGGAAGGAATAAGGAAATTTCGCTTGGCATTTCCTTTGCCGCATGGTAAAAATTCGCGAACTTAAACTATTTAAATGGGTATGATGTCCCTCTTTGTCCCAAGTCTTGTGAATTTCTCAGAAGTTGAGCGTTTTCAAAAATATAGTTTACTGCCAGGGATAAGTTGTTCCAACAAACCGAGAGATCAGCATCGAAGACAAGACTAGGTTCTCTATTTGAGCTCACTCAACCATGCATCTCCTCAAACTCATCTCCCTCACAACGGCCATAGCGCCAACAGCCTTTGCCCAGCTCTGGTTCGGCACCACCCTCCCAACCTCGACCGCCGCCGACGAATACCTCTCCCAACACGTCAAGTCCGTCCCAAGCACCGTCACCGGCGCCGTAGCAACCTCTCTCGCGACGGCTCTGTACAGCGTCGACCAAAAGTACTTCAACGACAAGGAGTGGACGACGGTCTACTCCCACATGTGGTCCGCCGCCGCCAAGGCCACCGACGCGCCCGACGTCGTCGCCTCGATGGCGGTCAACGGGTATAGCCTGGACACCCAGCAGGAGGCTAAGTGGTGGAAGGATAACGTGCCGGATAAGGACGACAAGTGGGTTTCGTCGTATGTTTCGGATTGGCAGAAGGCGTGGCAGGATAATACGGCGGCGACGAAGACTTCAAAGGGCGGTGCTGCTGGTATGGCGAGGTGTACTGGGATGGCTATGGCTGGTGTGGCCGCTGGCGTGGCTGCTGGGGTTATGGTCGCGATGTAAGGTTGAGAGTGCAGTCAGTTGTCCGAGTTCTTGGCTTTGTCCTCGAGATCGCGCTGTCTGGGAAGTGTGGTCAGCGAGATGGATTCGAGAATGAATAGCGAGTCATCCTACCTTTCTTCATGTCTCTCAATGAAGCAATCAATTTCGTGTAGACTTTTCTCAATCTTTCTCATGTGGATATCCCTCTTCGTCTTGCCGCCCCGAGACGCTGAAGTTTCTATTTCAAGTGACACCCCCAAATCATGGCTCCTGATTTCTGCGCAAGACATCTCATGCTCCAATGATTGAATGTCCGACTTGCTGGCGTCGAGTTTCCGCTCTAAGTTGTTTCGGATCTCGACCAACTTCTTGCGCTTCTTCTCGGCATTGTTGAGCGTCTTTTCAAATGAAGCCATTCGTTGCCTCAGTGAATCGTACTGGATTTGGAGTTTGTCGATGTCGGTTGTAATACCTTTCCCATCTTTAGGTCGTGATGGGACAGATGAAGTATTGTCGCTTGGGGGTGTAGCAGACGGGGTCGGGATTCCCTCGTTATTCTGCTGTACAGTTGCTTGTACCATGTCTTCCAATACTTCTGAGATGACTGGGTATGCCGATTTGCCAAGATCATCGACTATGTTGTTCAGCACCATCTTGTCAGATTTGGCGAAGTTTGTTGCTAAGCCGTAGTGAACAAAGAGGCTGTGACCGGCGTGTTAGAAAGAAAAAGAGGAAAGAGTAAGAAGTCTTCTTTTCTCATCATCGAGCTAGGTGAAGTCTGTGGGAGACGTAGTGAGTCGAGATTAGTGGGGCCTGTCAACATGAAGGTTCAAGATGAATACGGATGGCCAAAAGGGTCACCACGAACTTATCCTCAATCAGTCAGGTACGAACCGGATGTTCAATTTCTAAGTGTAGAGATCTTACCAAAATTACCATGCGACCAATAGTTCGTCATAAAATCAATCAAAAAGCAGCGCTTGTGCTATCCAGGTGACCATAACAGAAACAAGTCGTCGTGATAGCATCATTCACTTGTTTATGGACCGCCATCACCTGACCACAACGATTGATGGCAAGGTTAATCAACAAGACTCGTCCTTTCAACCATGTTCTCACCTAAAGCGCCCTCTTGAAGTCAAAAAAAGGTACTCATTCAGCAATGCGACTTTCTACAGTAAGTTGTCAGAGGGAACGCTATTAGAAGAGGAGACCCGTAGGAATGAAGGCCTGAGTGGAATGATATTTCATCTAGTAAAAGCAAGTGACATTTTTGACACCCAAAATAGATAATCTAGGACTACATCTATCTTCAATCTGCAAACTCTTTCCCATCTCCTCCCGTGGCCCTTGACCACTTCTGTCAAGTACGATCCAGCATACAAGCTACAAATACCAGCAAAGACATGATCCTTCCGACAATATCTGTATGCCAGACGTATAGAAAACCATTGGTATTACCCTTTTCATCGAAGTTTAAACCTTGGCGTGCTCAGGGGCAAGTTCAGTTCCACCGCTGTGCGCCGAGTCAACAGGCAGAGAAGGGTGAATAGCCTTCTCCATATCGTCATCCTGTCCAGGATTGGCAGTCTGGTACTCAAGCCACTTGAACATGGCGTAAACCAAGAAGGACAGAAGAGCACCAGCGAATGGGCCAATCCAGTAGATCCAGTGGTAGTTCACAAAACCAATAATGACAGCAGGACCAAACGACCGCGCAGGGTTGATGGAAGTGCCAGTCCAATTGGTAGCCGTGATGTGCGCGATGAAGACGGAAATACCGACGCCAATAGGGGCAAGGAACGTCGCGCGATGCTTCTCGACAGCGAGGAAGTAGACCGTCAAGACGAGCTGCGCGGTCAGGAGCATCTCGATGAAGAAGCCCTGGGGCACGGTGGCGCCGCCGCCCAGAGTGTTGGCGACGCGGAGAGGGCCGGGGAGGACTCCGTATACCACGGCAGCGGCAGCGATACTAGCGAGCAGCTGGGCGGGTACGATGCAGAGTCCTCGGAGCGGCTTGACTGCTCCGACGAGAACGAGACCGAGTGTGACCTGTCATGGGGACTTTAGTCAGCGTTCGAAGTAGAAAGGGTTGAGGGTTAAGATGAACTGGGTTGGGAACATACCGCAGGGTTGAACATGCCGCCGCTGACGCGATAGAAGATCCAGACATTAGCGGTGATGGCTGTGCCGAAGGCGGCGGCGATGTAGAGCAAGCTATCGGGGGAGAGTGTGGCCGCTGGGTCGTCTGGGTTGTTGGTGACGATGGCGGTCTGGGCTCCGAGGAAGGAGAGGAGGAGGAACATGAATGTTCCGCAGAACTCGCCGAGTACGATGACTAGGAGGTTGCGCTGGGGCAGGGAGAAGGGGTAGCCTCGCTGTCCCGCGGGAGGATGGGTGGCGTGCACCGCATCGATTGCCTGCTTCACAGGCGTGTGGTGAGCGTTGGAGGTTGACATCTTGTAAGTGATGGTCGACGGTAGTCGTGAAGGATGGGGGAAAGTGACTGTGAGACGGGTTTTTTTCGATGGCTTGAATGATTGAGGTGCCTTGTGAGAGCCGAAGCCATCTATAAATACATATCGTGATGGGAAACGGATGGCTGGTCTCGAGAAGTGAGGCGGTCGTAAAGCTTGCTTGTCATCCAAGCTTTCTGCTGTGCTTTTCGGCAAAGGCGAATTTTCCCACGATTAGATGCATCGCCGTCGGCCAGATTCTTCCAGTTGGGCACCAAGCGGTAGGGACAGCGTCAGTACAACGACGAGGAGGTTGGAGTACACGAGTGCAATACTGAGGTCGGCGCGAGGGATGTTGTACCACGCAGAGCCGAGGATCTGTACCCTCATATCGACGACCACAAGGCTCCAATCGAGAGATGTGTACTTGTAAATCTGGTGATGAGCCATGCAAACTGTCCTGTCACTATTGCCTGGGCACCAATCGCCATGCTGTGCTATTACGTGCTGCCGTGCTCATCTTGTCGAACGACTTCAATCATCTCAAGGTCAGGTAGCTCACCCTGTTGGGCCCCAATCTGCCTGTTTCGCTGGTTTGGTCGTGGTCTTTACCCAGCCTCTCCCTGTTCTGATGGATCCGTTGCCACGATGTTGGGCTCGACGCTGTGTGTCTCGCCTCACGATATGGAGTTGACTCGTGAGATCGAATGAGTCCTATGTCAATCGTATACCACCAGCATGGTCAAGGATGGAAGCAGTTGATCACGAATGCGGAAGGAGATATGAGATGGCCGATACTTCGCATTGTTCCACCTTGCCTATGGAGAGCCATGTACCAACCTCCTATAGTATTTGCAGACAACAGTCTATCGAGCCCGAGTATCATACTGTATTCCTCTATTCCTATACGTACATGCACGTACTTGAAGGCAGAAGCTTCACTTGACGTTCCTCCGCGATCGCTCTCTGATGTCCGATCTCCCTCTGTCTCTGATGCCAAGTCCGTGCGGGCACAGGCGGCGTGCACCGTTTTGTCTAGGCCAAGGCTTTCGGGACCCTGACCATGTAAAGCTCCTCCGGTATTGGGCTCCAATCTGTATGTCTTGCTATTACAGCGATGATCTCTACAGAGGGCTTGACCCGTCCGACGGAAAAGGTGCTCCGATGTCTGACCAGTCCCCTGCGTCTTGCCGCCAGAACTGGGGGTACAGGAAAAACGGCCAGTCTCAACAAAGCCGTCTTCTCCATGAAGTCTCGGGCTGTCACGCCGAGTCACGCAAAAGGAACAAAAAACCCCATATCAGATAGATTAATCCATCTTCAGACTAGTAATCTTCGCTAGGGCCGAAGTTCTCTACCTTGGAGCCGATGGCACAGGCTGGACTGGCTTCTCCGTCCCTCACTTTTCACCACAGTCAACGCCGGCATCATTTTAATGTGCAATGATGATGGCAATGGTGATAGAAACAAAGCAGCTGTCATTGCCGGCATGCTTGGCTCAGAGTGTCTTGCCATCGTACGTTTCCCGGCTGGCATCCTCGCGTCCTGGTTGGCAGATCCCTCCGATGTCATGCTTCAGTTTGCATCTCCCGCTAGCGCACGTCGATGCGGACGTGATTCGCCGGTGCGAATGCACAGCGGTATCACCATCTAAGGTTGACAAACAGAACGCAGCATTAGGGTTCGCCTGAACTTCTTCCCTGTCGTCTGAACTGGTGGTCCGACTCTGTCATGGAGAGACACATCATGTTTGCCAATCGCGGCAGGTTTTCGCGCATGTCGTGCCGCAAACTCTTCGTTGTTTGTCCCACAGAATCTGGACGCTTGCGCATCCTGCAATCTTGCACGGTTTCTGTTACTTGTGGTATCCACGTGAGCTGTGTAGCACAAACAAGCTCTTTTCGCGGCGGCTTGATGAACAATTAGCTGCTGATGTCACGGGCTCGTTTCCATAACCAAATGCAGCATGCAGAACGGGCGAAAAAAGCACAGAAGAAGAACCACAAATCGGGCCCACCTCTCTCCAAAATTCCTCCGCTGCAACGTTCTTATTTCGAGATACCAAAGTCATACTGCTCTTCCATTATTGGCCGGAATCCCCTCCCGCTCTTCACCTCCTGCATGTGCGGGGGTTTCAAGTATGGGCCACGGTCAACCGGCCATGAAGGGCCACGCGGGGCGGACGAATGAAGGTGGTTGCGCAACAACGGTGGAGCGTGGGATCGCGGGTCGAAGTCTGGATTGATCGACATGCGGGCCGGTCCTAAGCGCTAAAGGTAGTTCGGACATGATCTGCGGTGGAAACGTGAGTGATCTGCGGGCTGGTGGCCAGCCTCTTGGAGACCACCTTATATTCTTATATTCTGCCTGATGGTTTGATCAGTGCGTGGTTCTCTATTTGAGTCATCTCTCACACCAAAAACTGGCAATGCTACAATTGGTCCAGTAAAAGCCCCACGTAGTAGACATGGAGAGCAGGAGACAGACTTTTCAGGAGTCGAACTTCACCTTGGAACCCAGAAATACTGCTCGCGACTTAACCCCCGGTGTCGGAGTGTCAGCTATCAGGCTTGATAGCTCTCGGGATAGACGAAGGATTGAAATTCAACAAATGGGATTGAAGACCCAGTACCCATGTTGCTGTCTTTGGAGAACAGACAGAGCAGGTCTTGATTGATGATTGTCACAACGGAAAGTCTTGCGCCACGAACGAAGGAGGCGGGGACGGTGAGACATCGAGTGAGACACGAAGCGGAGACCGAGACGTCAAGCCGCACAACGTCGCAGGCTTGACCGAAGACTCGGGCGAGATGCCCAACGTGTTGGAGGCCGGAGTTCGCCCAAGCTGAAGACAGAGATCCGCGTCTCTCGGCTCTTGAAAATGAAGGCGGGGCAGTGGAGTTCCTGCGATGCGATGTGTCCATTCGTCTATGATGTCCAGAAGTAAGAACCGCAATGCCCATCCTTCAAGACCTAGAAATCCCTCGTTCCACCGTGGCAATCTGGTGGCTTAGGCTTCTGCGTCAAGGAGGTTTCAACCATGTGGCAGGAATTGGGTTGCAGACGCAGTGTCTATGGTCGACTATTGGTCCAGACGTTGGAACAATGACGAAACAGACAACCGTAGGAGCCGTAGTGTGATGCGGGACGGACGGGATGTCCTGGTCTCAGCCGGGGTGGCGCTCACCATCGAGGTCGATCGTTTCGAGACAATAAGGCTGGATTCGAGAGAGTGAGCAACGGTATACCCGTAATGGCTAGCCGCAACATGGCAGCCGTCATAAAGCGTTATGGTTAGGCAGCACCGGTTTTGAAACGTTGGTGATTGACATTCATCAGTCTTTTGTTAGTCAATGCCATCTCGCAGGCGACAAAAAGCGCGGTTGATATGGCAGAGAGTGACATCCGAGTGAGCTCGGACTCCGATAAATAGCCATAGGGACTGGTATCAAGAAGCAGTATGTTCAATTCCTAGAGCTTTGAAGCCAACATGAGCAAACAGACAAATGAGCTCAAGGCCAGTAGCCCTGACATCCTATCCTACAGAAAGTTCCCTGTCCAGAATCCTCGACTTTGGTTTTTCAGCATTGAGATTTCAACCACCCGATATCACCAGATATCAGCCCTCAATGTTAATCCAGCAAGTCCACCACTTAACCGAAAGCAAAACCATTTGATCTCTTCTCAGTGCTTCCTCCCGATCTGTTGGTTTCAATTTGGTGCTGCGAGGCCTCACGCAGGTCACTGAGCTCTTTGTTGAGTCTGCGAAGCTCAGAGTTCTCCGCTTGCAAATCCTCAACCTCCTTTGTGATGGACTTGTTCTCCTGTCCCACCTGGCGATTTCGGTCCATAGTCGCTCTATTCAGTGCGAACAAGTCTGCCTCTTCCTTGCGCATCCGTGCTTTCATCTCTTTGAGCTTGATCTTGTACTCACTCTCACCCTCGCGCTTTCCCTTGTTGTATGCTTCCGAGTAGGTCTCCTCCAATTTCGATTTGAAATGAGCACGGTATCCTGCCTTGAAGTGACGCCTGGCGAGTGCGATGCTGTTCTTTCTGCCACGTACTGTCTGATGAATATAGTCATTTGTCGCCGCGAGGAGTTCGTCCTTTGATGAGGCCTTGGCTTTGACGGCGGTGCCATTGAGTTCCATGATATCTTCCTATGCACACATGGCTAGATGCAGCTGGTGAACTGCCTTGCTCTCGGCACTGGTGGTGTAAGGCTCCTGGATAAGTGTGCGAGACATGCCGGGGTTCTTGTCCCTGAAAGATACCCAAGCTGAGTAAAGTCGGTAGAGAATGTTGTCGAACTTGACAAAATCGGAGATGGGAGCCGCTTGGAAGGTGCTGTCGTCGGATAGAAGGTTCTTCACTTCCTTCCAGAATGCCGCGTCACGAGTGGTGCAGTCAGAGCTCTCGAGGCACTGAGCGGCAGCATGGATGATGGCTGTAAGACGGGACGCGGTCATGGTCAAGCTAGGATCGGCTGTAGGAAGTGCGAAATCAAGGTGAAGGAGCTTGAGGGCATCCCACTCAGCTTCAGCAACGGGGCCACAAGCAAAGCCTTGGAAGTCGAATCCGGTCTGGCGAAGGCAAACATCGATGACCTTCAGCTGGTGAGTTGAGAAGCGCTCGGCAGACGACGAAGCAATTGCAGGCACGTTCGGGCCCGAATTGGCTTTCCTTCCCTTATGCGTGGGAGGCATCTAGATCTCGTTAGTAATGTGCGCCGCTCGCTACCTTCCCACCACGATGCAACAAATACACAAAACAGATGAGTTCAAGTTTATGGACAGTTGATAATGCGTAGATGGACCCGGGGCAGTAATACTCTGCGGCATGGACCAGGGGATAAGAAAGACATTATTGAAGCATTACTCACCTTGAAGGACGAGCATGAAGATTCCCATATATGGATGTATATGCGAGGATTTCGGTGCTCTTCCAGTCTCGATATTGATATTGCCAAAGTGAGGTGGGGAAGTAAAGCTCGTGTTGAGGTTGACCTGGGGAGAGAAGTCATGAGAGGGTAAAAGTGAGGCAAGTGAGGTCGTCGGCGGATTAGTCCGTGAGGCGGTCGCTCTTTCCGTTGGGCTACGGCTGCAATACCCGGCTCCTCGGCTGCCTAATTTTGATTCGGGAAGGTGTCAAAAAGAGAAAGCGCGATCTCAAAACAATGGAGTGAGGCACAGGTTTGAATAATTGGACTTCCAGACATGCCCGTACTGGAACCAAACACCCGTAAGTGACCATGTTCAAGGAACTCTAAATATCCACGCGCTTACCCAGGCATTGATCCGCGGAGACTGCAGCAAAAAGGCCGATGCTGTCTATAGTCATGACTTTCACTTGTGTCTATCTAGTAGTCATCGGGATATTAGTGATTCTTCGGCTTCACACGATCAGGCACAACCCAGTTAAAGAGATTACCCGGCGGATAGACCTGTGACTACAACATCACGGCAACCCTCACACCTCTTATCAGGATGTGAAGTCTTACGCCAAAAACAGGCTATTCGTGTTTGTACTACACTTCTCGCCATTCGACAGACGGAATCAATCGCTGGCTGCCCTGACGGACAGTGGCTACAGACGGCAAGGGGAACTTCCAAGCGGAGGAAGACCTTGGTGCCGAGGGACTCGCTACTGATACCTTTCTCCGGCCGCGTCCTTTTAACCCAGACGAAGACATCTATCTTGCCCGTTCCTACTTACTTCATACAACTTATCACACAAAATTACAATAGCCTCGTGACCATGCATCGATCAAATAAGAAAACAAGCAGATCCGCCACGTGTAAGGACGAAATTTTCAGGGCACTATCCGAAGCCGAGCTCCGTCAAGCACGGCGCGTCGGTTGCATGGAGGGATCGGATGTGGGTTCCGAGCTGTCGCCTCAATAGAATATCCAGTTCTTCAAGACCCCCACAGCGTCAGAACAACTTCACGGCCACGGCGTTGCAGTCGACGCTCAGCTGGAGCTCGCTCAGCTGGAGCTCCTTGCTTGCAAAATAGAAGGAGCAGTCCCAGTTTTGGACCACTGGATTAATAGAAAAAGCAGACAGACATCTGTCGCAAAGTTCTTGGCTCATGAGACGCTGGCGAACCTTCTCACATAGACATGCAAAGCGTTGGAGCACCCTGGCACTGGTCGCAGCCAAAGACCAATCGGCGGTTTATCGAGAAGAGTACGCGGCAGGAGCGATGTAACAACAGCTGGAATGGAAGTCAGCGACGAGATGCTGAGTAGCATGTTGGGGACGTGTATCTTGACGTTCATCCGCTAATTGGACCTTGCCTCCACAAATGTTAAGGATTTGGGGTGCCAAAAAGATTGGATAGTACAAGATCGTTGTTCTCCGCCGAAAGCACGTCATGGTCAGCACGCCCCAGACAATCGACGCCGGTCGCGCTGTCCTGCACCTTGACCAGCTCCACAACAACAAGCTCCTCCTCCTAACCTCTCGTCGCCCAAAAGCTCGATATCTGTAGTGGAGCTTCTTTTCCTCTGCAACAGTCGCGTCCTGGCGATCAGACCTTGACCACGACGCCGGTGAACGATGTTGGCCGAATCGCGGAATCCTGACGGTGGTGCGGTATTGCGGCCCCACCGAACCTTATTACGAGGATGGTATTCTCTCGTCGTTTGCCGGCAGCATTTGGGCGAGAAGAACTTCGATCTATGACAGCTTGGCTGGATCGTCTGATGCGGAGTTGGTGCCTAATCACGCGGCGCGGGCTATTCTTGCTGCTTGGACTGTAAGCACTGAATGTGGAGCGTCATGGGAAGCTGTTGATAATGGTTCGGACGACGGCTAGAATAGAAGCAGGACGAAGAAATTGGGCACAGATGTAGTCTAAGACACTGCGGCAAAACCTGTGATTAAAGGAGGATTTGGCTCCAGAGCGCTTGCGCTTCGAGTCCATCTTGACGACGGGGCCTAGTTCAAACAGTCGTATTGTTGGAAGAAACAAATAATTCGAAGACCACAGCAATGAATACAATGAACTTCCCCTCCAAAGGACCTTGGAAATATGATTCTCTAACACCCCTTCTCTCTGACATGGATCTACACCTGAGTTACCTTATCTTCTAATGGATTCCACCACAATGGATGACTTCAAGGCTAGTCGAGCAAATTAATCAAGGTCCCCTCAGATAAACTGTCCTTGGATTGCTGTGTCGAGTCAATATTGCCCTAAGCTTTAGATGCTGAGCGGGGAATCATACCTTCAGCTCTGCAATCTCCTGCTCCAAACGCTCAATGGTGTCTTCCTGAGCTGTCAAATTGGACTGAAGCCGGGCGTTCTCCCTCTCCAAAGCGCGGTAAGACCGTAGCTGAGACGCCTGAAGAGCCTTTCCCAACTCGTAGTAGGCAATATCGAGGGTGTCGACGATATGGAGGAAGGCAGCGGCAGCGGAGATATTGGTGCTTGCACTCTTGCAGCGACGTCCCTCATCCTCGGTCTCGGCCCGAATTCTTGCCTTGGCCTCAGCCTCCTTCACGCCGGCAGCCTTTGATCTGGCATTCGCCGCAGACATGGCATCTTTGACGGCGGCAATGACGTGTTCGATGTCCTTCGCCGTGATAACGGCCTTTCTTTTGATGTTGTGGAGGTTGTTGATGACGGCAGCAAGCGCCTGGATGATCAAGCTGGTTTCCCCAGCGACCATTTGCTGTGCTTCAACGTACGACTCAAGCTCCGCAATATAGTGCTGGATCAGGTATCCAGTGCGCTGGACATCTGGCAGGCCATGACGTTCCGCAGCACGACCTGATCCGTCCATGGATGGAGCGACCGGAAGGTCTGTGGCAGATTTGTCTTGGGACTGCATCGTTGTGGCCTGTAACAGATGGTGTTAGCTTTGAACGATCTAGGTAGGTTTCCGAGGGCGAGAAACAGATGGAGTTTGATTGAGAACAAATTGAGAAGAATTGGGATGGATGAAGGTGTTCGAGATGGGATTGCAAGCGAGTCAGGATTGCTGGCAACGACGGCGAGGGCGATGTCGTTGGCTTGGGGGCGATGGAAATGAAGTCGAGGACGAGAATGAAGTTGGAGAAGAAGAGAAAGGTGGCGGTTGTGAATTTGGAAGCCAAAGCAGAATTTGAGGCGAAATTTCAACTCGTGTGCGGCATTCGAGCAAAGTGTTCCTGCCCTGGCTGGAATCTTCTGCGGATGGAAACGACAGAAAAAGATGGAATCGGGAGTTGAAGTAGAATGAAGTGTCGGGTCAGTTCTTTCCCTTGTTGTGGGTGGGATGAAGGTGGATCTACGTCTTTTCTGGCCAGAAAATCTCAGAAGGAAGGTGCGAGTGTAGCCACACGTGTTGGACAGTCAATCCAGGCCACAAGCCGCATCCTTCAACTTTAGTAGTGAAGTCACCTGACGTGGGTCCTTCTCGACCTGGAAGATTACCTTGAATGTAAGGTAAGACGGCCTACTGACATGTTGTTCCTACCTGCTTGGGCGTCGAGCAGGAGCCACTAGACCTTCCAGAACCTCAGAGGAGTTTCTCCTCCGCCCCGTCTCAGTACACCATGAGTGACTGGTATGCCTATGCTCTACAGAATTAGCAGTGACGACATGAAGTTGGTATATGGTGCCTTCAGTTAGTCTCATGACATTGGAAGCCAAGCATTGAGCTGGAAGCAGTGGAGTCCGACAGGATGTGGTGACACTTGACACTTGACATTGTCAAACTAAAAGCCCAAGAAAGCAGGTCTGCCCCTTCAAAATAGGAGTGCCCAGATGGCACTGAGAAACATGAGCGTGCCGTCTGATTAGAGAGTCCTACCCGTGCCCCCGTCCATCTTATCTCAGACACATGAGATGCGAAGTTGCCTCTGAATTCCACCACAGCTGGCTGAGCAATCCCCAGCACAGTTGGTGCAATCTAGCCTTGAGTTTCCGTCGTATCTCATTCACGCCACTTGATTCACAGTTGTATTATGTGAATTCATGCCTTATAAGCCATAATTGGTCCCCTCCTTGATGGGCGTCAGCGAGGAAACTGCTATCCTTGGGTTGCTCCCAGAGCTCTGAACATCCCTTGCCGGTGTGCTGATGTGAGGCATCTCATGCCAAGAGTTCTACGTCAATGCTGCTGCCAACTTGCTGACTAGTCGCAGTTCGCCGGCTGGAAGTATATCATCCATGAATTCCAGGAGAGTCGTGAGATACTACGGTGTTCCGGATCCTCATACTGTCAGACTACTTTAGTCACCACTGTTACACGAAGAGACTAGTGGAAGACTTGGTTGGTTTGACATCATATATTCCGGCATGTTGTCACCGGTCACTATTTCAAAATAATTCTACTCATAAAACCTTGCCCATTGCTAATTTCCCGTCGCGCAACGCGCGCCCAATTAGTTGTGTGGTGGCCGTTTGCAACAGCATTGCGTGGATAAGGTAGGAGGGGCAGCCCTTACAAATGGGTCCGGGGCAGGGAGCACACCCAAGGTGGGGCGAATACTCTTTTGGGACGTGTCGCGTCCAGCGATTGGGACAGGCCCTGGCGTGGCGCTGCATCCACAAACTTTAGTTGAACTGTCATCTTCTCGCTCCACCACTATGATTCAACGACGAAGAGATGTGTCCCAACATGGCTTTGTCAAAGCCTCATGTAATCCACTCCGGGTCCTTCTATTATCGTGGTCTTTGGCTATGTCTTGTACATGACTTTGTTTTGGTCTGGACAATGAATCCACGAGCGATGCTGCAAGAGGTATCCAGGCGAAGCCTTTGTCAATATTCAGCCATTTTCCTTACAGTTCAAAGGTAGGCACAACCAGATCAAACAACAGTCCTGCTTCTGCAGCTCGTAGCTTCTGTGTGCCGCCATCTGTTCAATGAAAAAGCCGTAAGCAGCCGGGAGGAAAAGGAATCAATGTCGCACGTCAAATGAGAGTGTATAGCTTCTCAATGGTCTTACTGCTAGATAAGTCATCTCACATTCAAGGAGAGAATGACCGTCAATCGGGTTCTGGTATCAGCTGGAGTTTCTCTATCACGACGGTCGCGGTCGCCAAAAACCAGGATCACGGCATTGTCATTACTAGCCAAAAAAGGTAAAAAGGATTTGCTCCGAGGGAGCCTCGAACCCGACCTCTTAAGAGGTCATTTTGGTACTGGGGGGCTTCCGGCGCCCGTAATGATGCAGAGGGGCCCAACAACTGCACCATCCAGCTCATAACCTGCCCCCTTTCCCCTGGGTTGCTAACATTTCGATCAGTTTGTATATGTATACCCCACAGAAGCCGTGGGGCTTGCAAAAATCAAAAAGGAATGCTCCCAAGGAGCCTCGAACCCACGCTCTTCAGAGACACAGATCAGTACTAGAGGGCTTCCGGCGCCGGCGATTCATGTAGCGGGGCCCTACATCTACGCCATTCGACTCTAACCTGCCCCCTTTCCCTTGGGTTTTGGGAATTTCTCCATCAGTTAGGTATAAGTACCCCACCTAATCTGTCAGGCCCAAAAAGTTCTAAAAAAAAGATTGCTTAGATAAAGACTCGAACCCATGCTCTTAAGAGACAATTTGGTACAAGGGGGCTACCGGCGCCGACAATTCATGCAGAGGGGCCCTACATCTGCACCATCCGACTCTAACCTGCCCCCCTTCCCCTGGGTTGCGAATTTCTCAGTCAATTTGATATAAGTACCCCCACTCCGACTTCAGGTCGCTGCAGCCTGGGATACTGGTCGACCACGCGACAGTCAAACCATGATGGGATTTGGCGACACGTCCTTTCCATTTTCAGGTCCCAGACATCCTATCATCTGTTACAAGAAAGAAGTGCAGCGACTCATTGTTTTATTGAATAGAATGACCGTTTATTGATGAAATCCAGGGACCTAAACAAATCTGGTACCAAACACGATGATCTATGCAGCGTCTTTGATGATGAATGTGAAGGTTATTTAGCAACAAACAGCCCTTTCACATCGGACATAGGTCACGTAGATTGCAAAAGGAGTTTTGGGGAGTACAGGACTAGATGGAATGTTCAGCTTACGAAAGTCATGCTTTACGGCATAATTACCCACTCAACCAAAGCTAAACGGAATATCTAATCAATAGGCCCACGGACAAAAGAGTTGGCCATTTGCGTAGATATCCTAGGTAATGAACCCAACCCCCCACAACCGAATCGTATGATTCTATCAAGTGATGTCCAACCGTGTCCATCCTCCATGTCTAGTACCATACGCATATGAAATCCGTTCATCCTAATTACCATTACTGGGTGTTCATGCGCAGGAATTCGGCCAACTCGTTGTGCTCATAGGTGCGAAGACCAAGTCTCTCCTTCTCCCTATTCACGATGGGCCGGACAATGGCCCAGAGCTGCATCGTCACAAGAGAACTGTTAAGGGGAGTGTCGTCCTCCTCGTTCTTCTGCTCCTCGGCACTAGTGTCAGGGGACTCATCATTGTCGACAGTGGCGGCGCTGGCAATGGCGTGGTCGATAGGCGAGAAGGCCCGGCCAGGAGGAGACGGAGCGAAGAGAAGGTCGGAGTCATCGGGAATGGCGTAGAACAAGCCAACCAACTCGGCCTTGGATGCGATCTAAGCATCCAGGGCCTCAAGCATGGGGCTGAAGACGGGGTTCTTGGCAGCCTCGTCATCGGCGGCGTCAGGGGCGCGGGCAAGGAGGTAGTCTCTGCGCGCGTCGCAGAAGCGGTCGAGAAGGGCCTCGACCTGCGGTCCGTGGGGAGTGAACACGTCCCATCTACGGTTCACTCGAAGCTGGCCAAAGACAAAGGTCCAGAACTCCTGCTGGCGGTGATTGTTAAGAATGCGACGGAGGCTGGTGTTTCCCTTCTTGAGCTCCATGAGATGGTTGTTGGCCTCCATGATGAGGCCATAGAGTCTCTTGGAGACTCGGTGAATGTAGAACTTGAGGGCGTTCGGGTTCTTGGGGAGCTTGCGGTCGTTCTTCATCGTCTTTCCCAGCAACATGGCGCATGACATCTCATCTCCCAGAAGGAAGTCGCCGCTATCGAGGAACAGGAGTCCAGGAATCTTGGCAAGGACCTTGTGATTGAGGTTGCGCGCCCCGGGAGTGGTGAGAAGGGTGACTGGCGGCATATTTCAGACAAAAGAGGCTAGGACGATACTGTACGGCAAGAAAACATTAGACAAGGGCTAATCGCAATATTTGGATGATGCTGCAGCTTACCGTAGAATATCTGAAATTGGCTATAATCTCGATATGGGTGCGCTTAGGCTGCGATGACTCGCAATGCGAAAAGTCGGATGGCGGGCGATTGTGCGATGCAATAAGTAGAGGAATGGGTGACGCGAGTGGTGTTGTTAGTGAGACGCAAATCCAGCACGGCGTTTTCGTGAGAAAAAAGTAAACAAAAAGAAATTCACCCCTCACGTAGAAGGACTGAGCTGGTAAGAAGCGGGATGAGGGCCTTCTGGCCGAATGGTCACGTGCTTTGGATGAAGTTATATTCACTTCTTGCCCTTTGCATATTCCCACAACAGCAGAGGACAAATGTAGTGGGGCCATTGCTACAATAATCCGGGGGGAGATCTTCTTCATTGCCACATGACAGAGGCTATTTGGACAAGATGATCACAAAGTAGCCGGACTACTGACCCTCTTCCGCATTTCTGCTACCTAGGCGACGGCCGACAAAAATCCGAACGATGGCAAGAGGTGAACCTAGGGATCACATCAACCCCTCTTCAACTACGGGGGTCTCTCTGCAAACTATCTGAGTAGTCCTTCGCTCGAAATTTATTCCCGCTCTAAGTCTGACATTGAGCTGGAAGCTGATTTGATGCGAATACTCGGGAAACAGCGACGTCACTCT